TATTACTATGTAAATCAGATCTTTTAACATGCCGTTATGTACATGGACAATGGCATAACATGCTGCCCAGTGAACAATCATTGTCAAAATTATTAAATGTCATGGAAATATTTCATGAACTATGCAGACCAAACATGATAATGACCAAGCATAGTGACTTTCACCATAAATGTTTGCACCAACTTTATAATAAATGGAACTACATATATAACTTAAGGTAGCTCGCTACTTTCCGACCGAAATTTGACAACATTTCAGATCTTGATTATTTTTGGTATACAAACATGTAGATATGCAAGCTTTTCTCTGCAGCATTATCTTATAAATAAACAGCGTTACTATGACGTCAAAGCGCCCTCTATCGGAGACGGTGAAATTGCGTCTTTTTTATCAATAAACCGGTCTGTTCTAATCAATTTTCATCCGATTTCTTCATTTTTATTTTATAATGTTCAGTAAATGTATGTCTTTGTAATGTTGTCTTTCTTGAACATTTGCTTAATACTCTGCGATTCTACGTTATTTTTCCCCACGTTCTGACGTCCATATATGATGCAAATATCGCACGATATCGCAATAGATATTTTGAAATAACAAAAAATCAACACGGTGAATTTTGCTATAATTTTTTATAACATGTAGTGAAGTCATGAAGAAAATATTTATGCAATAAAAATATAGGGTCAACGCGTAAGATATTTTGCTATTACTATTTGAATATAAAATAAAGGGTGAGTAAAACGTAATGATTTTGGTGACATCAAATATTTTTCTCAAGGAAATTTTCACGACTTTTTCAATAAATATCATACTGACAGGAATAAACACGTGTGAAACCATCAACAACAATAGTATTTAGACATGTTCCGTAAAAATGTTCTTTTAAAAGTCCTGTCAGGTGCCTGCATTTCGATGAATAACTTCAATTATATACATGTACATGTACAACAAATCAGGATATGACTGTCTGCAAAAGTTGGTATCAATCTCTGAAAAACTGCAACGAATGGTTATAAATACCTCGAGAAACTGAAAGACAATTCAAAATATTGAAAGATAAAATTAAAAGGCCACCTAAGTAGAAATAATAAAAACGTAAATTATGCAAAGATTGTCAGAAAAAAGAATGAAAAGGCTGGTGCAGTTGCAGTGTCATCATGTTATGTGTATCTCGGTACAACATAAACTTCCAGGTTATCATATGTAAAAATTTTGAATTGGATATATCAGTTAGTAGGGAATGAATCAAATTTACGTTTTTAAAAATGTATGATCAAACTGGAAGTAACAACGATTTGTACGTAAGTCATGATTCACTGGTAGTCTTAATTATATAAATCTAAAGACATTTAATTCAAAAATTTTCTACTCATATAAAAATTTATGTATTTACAGCCATCAGTTATTCTATTTTCTCTGGCAGCTAAATACTAGTAATTTATATTCCTGCACTAAGCGTGAGACTCGGATTTAAAGGAGGAATCACGCTCTCGTGCTATGGCTTTAATTTCTCACGTATTTCACATAATTACAGATATTCTTATTTATTTTAAACTTGCTGACTCGCGGTATGCGTTTACTAGCGCAACTTTGAGGCGACCTGAAGCCGCGATCATTTCTCGATTCGAGGCGAAAGATCTGTTGATTTATTTTGTATGTTCATAAGCAGAGAATTTTGCATATTAAATACAGATTCCCTTGTATGGAAGACGATTCATGTAGGATCCTCAATTTGTGTGAAATATGGTTGTGGGAGAAGCTCGATTTTTGTCTGCACATAATGCAGTGCTATGTAGAGCCTATGAAAATAATCAACTATGCATTTTATGTTTTATATCTTCTTATTTTTTTTTAATATTGGGTTTAACACCGCTTTCAACAGTATTTCAATTATAGCGGAAACCAGTGTTTCTCACAGTATCAACTTCTCCTCGAAAATGAAAGACAGGAGTCCGAGGTGGACCTTGAAACATTCTATACACAGTAATAATCTATAAGTACAATACGCAAGAATTTCGTGTCTCGAATCCATGCCTTCCGAATTCAGTGTAATACCACTTTACCGATTACACCGTGGCAACAGAAGAATATTCAAAGTTAAAAACCTGATCATGATCTCCCTTAATAAGGGAGAAGTCCACCATATTGTTTACATCATAAACACGCGTTTTTGGTGTGTGTTTTGGGGTTGTTCTTTTCTTGTTTTTATTTTTTTTTTTTAAAGCAAACTGTATTGTATTTAAAAAAATGAGCACGATAACGTCAACATAATACATTATTCGTATTCAGTGGTAACAAAAGTTGCACAAGTTATTTAATAATTATATTTTGTATTTAAGTAATATATACAGTATAACCTCTACAGAGAATTTGTTGCCTAGAGTGGTTGCTCTACAGAGGTAAAATGTAGTGGAGCTCTTTAGAAATAAATAATATTTTGAGGGCGGCTATATATGTTATACTGTAATGAAAAAGGTATACGTAAATCCGAGTTGAGTTATGGTTATATTGGGTGTTCGAGTCTGCAGTTGAGAATATGCTAAAAAAAATTTATTCAGTATGATTTTTGCTTCCAAATGTTTTAGTTTGTCACATAAGTGCTCATTTTCTTATTATCATGACATTTTAATTAGATTATAATAATATAATCTATGTATTGCACAGACTTAAAACAGGTTAGCAAAAATAAAAATAAAATAAATGATTTTGTTTCTTGTACAGTTTGTTTTTAAATATTCTTAAAGGGAATCCACTGAGGTTGAAAAGCCAAAAACATAACATTTGAATTTTTCTTACATAATGAGCTGGGCACTTTAAACAGAAATATATGCGAAGATAGTTAAGAAATATACTTTGAAATAAATTGAAAATCGTATTTTCATGCTTTTGTTAGCCCGATTTGGGTGAAAAGCGTTTAAACATTTTTCATTTTGGGTCATTTTTTCAATTTGAATAATTATTCTGGAAAACAGAGTGCGCGAATGCTCTGAAATGTTGCACAAAGATTAATGGTCTAAACCTACATCAAAATTAATGGTAAATTTATCTGGAAAAAATATTTTCAGTTCCATCATGTCAAAAACTCTCAGTGGGAGTCCCTTTAACATATTTGAATATTATTTCTGAATTTATTTATCACTTATTTCGGCACATTTGTATGCATATCTATTTTAATTGCATTTTTACGATGTGTTTTGACACCGAGGCTCGTCTGCCTGTATGTGATTTTATGAAAGTGTTTAAAAGCTGAATGTAACGTAAAATAAATATATTCGGGTGCCTCCGTGGCCGACTGGTTAAGGTCGCTGACTTGAGATTACAGGTCCCTCACCGCTGTATGTTCGATACTCACTCGGGTCGAAATCTTGCATGTGAGGAAGCCATCCAGCTGGCTAACGGAAGGTCGGTGGTTGTACCCAGGTGCCAGCTCGTGCCTGAAAGAATGCCCGAAGTGGCACCTAGAGTCTTCCTCCACCAATAATGCTGGAAAAAATCGACGAAAAAAATCTCGGGCGGGACGATCTAGAATGGCCCGAGTTGAGTGTACGGTCGCCCATAAGGGGCGACCTTAAATAAACGCATTAAAAAAAAATATTCTAACGGTATAAGCTAGGCGACCTAATATTCTTACTTCTACTTCATTCATACAGCAATATGTGAATCTTATTTTTTGCGTTGAAACTAGTTAATTCATATAATAATATTACACTTTTCACTCTTTCATTACAAACATCAAATTATAAAATTAAAATTAAAAGATGTATGAGACTGTGTCCTGCAAATTAGAAAAGTATTTAAAAAGGCATTGTCAGATTGAATGTGCTTTATCTAGTGCTTGCTTTCAATGAGAAAATAATCAACAATTAAAAAAATATACATTACATCAAGTCCATGTGTTGTTTATACTTACTATCATAATGTTTGACGTAAGAAAAATGTTATTTGGTATTATTCTTTGAACTCCAACATCTATTAACGTCACCAAAACCATTACGTTTCACTCACCCTTTATTTTATTTTAAAACAGTATTAGCAAAATATCTTACGCGTTGACCCTATATTTTTATTGCATAAATATTTTCCTTCACTATCTCACTACACGCTCGGAAAATTATAGCAAAATTCACCGTGTTGAATTTTTTTTATTACACAATCTTCATTGAAATATCGCGCATATTTGCATCAAATATGGGCGTCAGAACGTAGAGAAAAATGACGTAGAATCGGACACTATTAAGTAAATGTTAAAGAAAGACATCATTACAAAGACATACATTTACTGAACATTATAAAATGAAAACGAAGGAAATCGGATGAAAATTGATAAAAACAGACTAGTTTACTGATAAAAAGACGCAATTTCGCCGCCACCGATAGAGGGCGCTTTGACGTCATAGTAACGCTGTTTATTTACAAAATAATACTGATGAAGTAAAGCTCACATATCTATATGTTTGCATACCAGAAATCACTAAGATCTGAGACGTTGTCAAATTTCGGTCGGAAAGTAGCGAGCTACCTTAAGTCTATAAGCTACAAAACACCTGCACACCAGGTATATTTACAATGTGTAAACAGTATTTGTTCAGGTTATGATAATCATACAATAAAATAAGCAATGTTCCAAAACAATCAAGATTTGTCTTACAGAAACTGGCAGGGTATTTTGATTTTTGTTTTTCTAAAAATGCCCAATGTGCTAAATGCTCAGCATGAAAATTATCAAAACTATAAATGAAAAGTGTAGAATGTAAATGAAATGAAATACATCAAAATGTTTGTCTGCCATACTAAATTAATCCCCTTGATTCAATGTTGTAAACTGCAGATTCATTACTAGATGATGAATAAGTTACATTTCTACAAACAAGCATTTTAATCAAGGCATATTTATCAAATATAATGTGAACACATCACATTTAATTTTAAAACCTACATTATTCAAGACTTTTACCCAGGAATCAATTTTAATTTCAAGTTTGTTTTTTAAATGTTTTTGTTGTCAATGCCCATATGAACAAGGCAGAGCAATTCAACACTCGTTAATAATTTATTTTCTCAATTCTATCACAGACTGTGCAAACTGGAATGTCAGCACATAAAATACCATAATTTCATAACAAATCACCTTAGTGCAATAACCTGTTAACTCCTATTGAATTTTATTAGGGGTTAACCTATTACTGCACTAATGTGACAAAATATAATTTATGTTAACATAATTGAGGGATATAATTCAGATTTGTTGATTAAAGGAACAAGCTTATTAAAGTATATAAAGAGTTAATATTAAGTAGTGTTGGTAACATGATTATTTTAAACAATGCAAACATTAAACTGTTTCTTTGCTGTTTAATTTAAACACACAATTCTTTATAAAGAAATATGCCAGGCGAGATTGATCCCCTAATTGTTTTGTTACAATAAATAATAAAACTGTATGAAAATAAGTATAATTTTGAACAAACCTTAAAAAAACATGAAATGACAAACAGTGAAAGTTTATTGATGATCATGTTCAAACAATGGGGGGAAAAAACATTGTTTGCAAGCCATTTGAATTAGCAGGAGATTGTGTAATAATATAACAAATATTCTGTATATCTGTTTATAATAGATGGGTGAAGCAGAAGTGTTTCTGTTTATAAATAAATCTCTTAACACTGAATATATTGTCACCTTAGTGCATTAATAGGTTAGGGCCTTCTAAATTCATTTATAGTTCACCATCTATTGCACTAAGATGACAAATTATTATTATGATCAATGCATTATATTAAAACTGAATAACTTTTATATGAAATGTTGTGATAAATGGACAACAGCAGCTGTACTTAGGTGACAATAACAAGAATACAATTCATTATAACATAAGTCACAATATTCTTGTCACAAATTATAAAACACAATTCATGATGGAATAACTCTTCCACTCACAGCCTGTTATTAACGCCACACTCACCTATCCTACACATTTCAAAATTTCTAACCACGGCAAAATGCACCGAGACAGTGAAACACTGCACCCAGCTTTCATTTCTCTTTCCTTATAATTTCCCTCATACCAATCTAGTATGTAACTTATCTCCCCTGTTAACGTTAAGACACAATTTAATAAAGTTCAAATACTGGTGTATGTACAAAAAATAACCTCAAACAGTTCTAATATTTAATAACTCGACGTCTCTCTCCTCAAATGGACGGATTAGGTGGAAATATTCCTTCAGATTTTTCACTACACCTCGGCTAAAGGGGTTGTAGAACTGTCCCTTTCCATCTTTAAGGTAGCCATATCGTTTATGATTGATTCTCTCATTGACTGTAATGTTGTTACAAGCGTGGAAAGCCTGAAAATATACACAAGGTCATGGTCAATAACACAAGTCAAGGTCAATAACACAAGTCAAAGTCAAAAACACAAGTCAAGGTCAATAACACAAGTCAAGGTCAATAACAAAAGTAAAGGTAAAAAACACAAGTCAATAACACAAGTAAAGGTCAAAAACACAAGTCAATGTAAAAAACACAAGTCAAGGTCAATAACACAAGTCAAGGTCAAAAACAATGTCAAACATATTTTTAACTTTTCCTTTATAGTCTAAAATGGGTAATTTAATCTCATATGCATAGAAAAATGCGTGTTGCAAAAGAACATTTGGAAATCAAGCAGACATTCAAAATGAATCACATAAAACCAATATCATCTTGCATTTGATTAATAAAGGCCATAATTTTATATTTTCAGTTTTTCACTGACAAATGATAGTCCAAAATTGCCAAATTTAATGTTTCTTTCAAAAATCAATTACAACTAACACTTTACAAAATGTATAAAAAAAATAACCCATTTTAGCTATTCAAGGATTACTTTAGGCTACAAGAAAGTGATATCAATAAATATACACATCCATTTTTAACTATAATGATACATAAAACTATACTGAACCAAAAAAGAAACTTTCGCAAAGTATGTGCCAGTTGTTCAAGGGTACCACATATTTACATGTAGTAGCTTGTAAAACTAGTTTTGTTTGCAAAATCGGTCAGCTAATCCCTGTATTAAAGCCCGATATGTTTATTCAACGTAAAAATAGAGTTTCAAAAGGATTGAAAAACTGTACTAACATATCTACATTCAAACTTGGAGGCGGTTTCTTTTTTGTTTCAGTATATTATCACATCATTTATCTATTGCTTGTATTTAACCTATTCCTGCACCCTAGCACAGTAATCATCGACTGATGGTTTTTTATTTTGTAATTCAGTAATGCATGTGTAATTCAGTATTTGAATCATACACCATCATGCATTTTCCTAACAAGTGTTTCTGGATTTTGTACTTATATTAACCAGTTTTTGTCCACAAAAAAATATGCCAAATTCTCTTGTAAAGATGGCGGAAACATTAACAATTTGAATCAATGAAAATGTTGCTGTAAAAGTGAACCATCTAGGTCCATAAACAGTTTAAGTTCAATGTCGTCTGACGATTCTTAAGTCTAAGGCACTTAAATAACTCTGAGTGCAAGATTTTCCAGCTTTACTGGTGGAGAAAGACCCTCCATGCATTCTTGAACCCAGAGTAGATCCACCAACCTACTGTAATCTAGCTTACTCACATGAAATAAATCCAAAGTGATCCAAGGCGGAATTCTAACCAAAAAACTTTTTACTGATTAAAACGTTAAAATAAATTGACAGATGAACTTTCTACTAGTCATAATACATGTAAACAATTATAGAAATAGATTCATAAATAAATACAAATACCTTATACCCCATATAAATGCACTTCACCCTTTTTTATGCCCCCTATAGACGAATTTCTATGTTCCCATGGGGCATTAATATGGAAGGTATATGGTAAGTAAAAGGTTCCCAAGAAACAATAATATGGAAGGTATATTGTAAGTAAAAGAGTTTCTACTTATTCATATGACATGGGAATAAATTCAAATGTAATCAGATATCATGACTTTACAACATTAAACACAACAAGAATGTCGAACGACACATATACCCCCCTTTCTAGCCATTGACTCACATAATTGGTAATTTTATTACAGAAACTTGCCAAAAATGGGTACATGGAAGTGTTCAATTATGGAAAAATCAACGGAAACCATTTTGACATTTAAGGCCCATGTGACAATTACCTTTGACCTAATGACCCCAAAATCAATAGAGGTCATCATCTTCTACTTATGACCAATAACTAGGTGAAATATGAAGACTTTGTGATGAAAACTTTTCAAGATAATCAGCTGAAACCCTTTTGACATTTAAGGCCCCTGTGACCTTGACCTTTGACCTAGTGATCCCAAAATCAATAGGGGTCATCTACTAGTTATGACCAATCACTATGTGAAATATGAAGACTTTGTGATACATACTTTTCAAGATAATCAGCGGAAACCATTTTGACATTTAAGGCCCTGTGACCTTGACCTTTGACCTAGTGACGCCAAAATAGGGGTCATCTACTAGTTATGACCAATCACTATGTGAAATATGAAGACTTTGTGATACATACTTTTCAAGATAATCAGCGGAAACCATTTTGACATTTTAAGGTCCCTGTGACCTTGACCTTTGACCTAGTGACCCCAAAATCAATAGGGGTCATCTACTAGTTATGACCAATCACTATGTGAAATATGAAGACTTTGTGATAAACGCTTTTCAAGATAATCAGCGGAAACCATGTGGTCTACCGACGGACAGACCGACGGACCGACAGACAGACGGACCAACATTAGCAAAACAATATACCCCCTCTTCTTCGAAGGGGGGCATAAAAATATCATTAAGACTAAATTTCTATATTTTAGAAAACCAAAAAGAGGAGAATAAAAATGCCAGATCTATGTTATCAAATTTAACTATTCTTTTCTTATTATAAAAAAAGTATAGCCAATTTTATCCGATTTCATTTCATCTAAATCTATAACTCACATTATACCAAAAGTGACATCTACCTTTCTCTAAACTCTATATAATAATTAAACTTAAATATGTTACAAATAAAATCAAATAATTTAAAGTTGAATCCCGCTGAAATGAAAATAGTTATAATATCATTAATGTTAGCAATATGCTGTTTCCATAGAAACATTTTCAATATTTTGTATAATATAGACATATATATTACGGAGTCTCATTATAATCATCAGGATCAAGAAATTCCGGAGGTTGGGGAATGATCTTAAAGAACTCGAGGACATTAAATTTCCAGCCAGAATCAAAGGGGTTTTTGAAGCTGCCGTCCTTGTCCTTGAAATGTTTGTAGCGCTTGTAGTTTATGTACTCGTTCGTTGTAAGGTTAACCACTGACAAATATATCTGAAAGAAAAAGAAGAAAAACTTTGAGGCTAGAATAATTATTAGTTTAGTATATTTTCAGTAATACATATTACAAACAGCAAATTTACTGAACTTATATTGGTGTTAAAAGAAAAGAAAATGAAAACTAGGCGTGCTAGCCTTTGAGTAAAAGATGAAGTATCTATGACCAGCCAGGATTCAGCTTTACAAACAGTTTTCTTCAGACATATGTGGATCAGCCAATTAGATGCATTCAAGTTGTACTTAATACGACTCAAGATAATGTCTTGCTCATGTATAGACTCTAAAGAAATTGTTCAGCAATATTTTAATGCAGCATTCAACCATTGCTACTGTTGAAATTTGTCTTTAGCATAACATCAATAAACTATGATAAACTATATGCTTTATACTTCAGTAATTTTTAAAGGCTCATTATATCTCAGAAATGCTTTTATACGTATTTCTCAAAATCTTTTATTTTTTTATGGCCTGTTCCAGTTTCAAAATGTTGCTTGTTGGCCATATACAAGAACCATCTTTTGTTTCTGCTACTTTTTGGCAATTAATAGAGGTATAGTGGATGGAAGTCAAATTACTAGTTCTTTCACATTTTTCTACTTTCATAACAAATAACACCACATTCAACTCCACTTTCTTTAGGTGATAAGCATATAAAATGCTCTGAAACAACTTTTTACACACAATAAAACTCAATTTTGCCCTTTCTAAAGAAGGAAATAATTTTCCTTTCAGAGGCATAAATTAATGTCATATAGGCGGGTAGTTTCCTAAACATCGTTCCTGGAGAGTTACACGAGTACTAGACAACCTTCCTCCGCTCTAAACTACCAAAGCATCTCCCGGGGATCGAACCCACGCCAGAGAGGTACCTGGATTAGAAGTCATCGACTCTAACCCCTCGACCACGGAGGCGGTATGTGCCCTTGAAATTCTTGAAAAAAATAAAATGGAGTACATACCATAGTAAGAAACACGTAGCTAGAAACTCCCTCGAAGAAGATGCCGACAGCCATATAGAACATATAAACAATGTTCCACTCCTCGTCTGTAACTCTCAATGTGTACAGACTGAGAAAGATGGTTAAAGCTCCGTTAACCATCACTGTATAGCAGAATATTGTAAATGTAACTCTGAAATAACAAATTCAACAGATTCCCCTAATTAAAGAACACACCATTATACACAATTCAAGCTAATTCAAACTGATTGCATACTTTTTTACATAGATGCATATACAGTTCAGTTATCATTAATTAAATTTTTGATAGTCCAGACTGTTACGGCAGCTGAAGGAATAAAATAAATCCTTACATTCATTTACCTCAATCTATAATCCCATTCAATTACTGAAGGAATTTTTGAATTTAATGCAAAAATAATGCAATCAACTTGAGTCTTCTTATCTAAAGAAAGCATAAGCATCATTTATCAGATGCTTAAACTTCCAACATATACAGTACAGACCTTGAAGCTGAAGAGTATACCAGAAGGACTTCATTTGTAAATGTTGTACACTTTTGTACATGATGAAGGAGATGCAAACAGTTTTACATCAAGCTATGGATGTGGCCAAATCTATGTTTAATTTTTTTGGACCCACAAAGCTTTCTGCTTCTCCGCAACTTCAAGTTCTGTCAATAGTTTACAATAGAGCAGTCCCCCATATACATCCATATACACTATGCATGATGCTTTTATTGAAAATAACTCAAAAGACCCCCAAACAATATTCAAACATCTGAAAACAGAGCCGAAGTAGAGAAAATCCAACATTTTAATTACCTTAATTTAGAATCCCACAAAAACCAACTGGTATAAACTGAGCACAATGTACTAGGAATGGGGGAACAACTCTATGTGAACTAACTTAATCACTTTAAACGGGCATTTTCTGGCTTACCATCATACAACTCAAACCCGTGACCGCAAAAGTTAAGATACCGGCCTCGCATGACCCGACGACAACAACCCAGTCCCAGCCAAACTCGTTAAGAAGGTGGTAGCAGAGGTAGTCTGTGATATAAACGTTGACGAGCACACTGCATACGAAACCCAGAAACCAGTGCCTACAACGAGAGCAGGGCACCAGTCAATTTATTATGTCTCTAATTATCTGGTCATTGTTATTTATTCATAAAAACAGAGATGTGATTATATATGGGGAAAACAAAATGATTGTGATTAAAATGAGAGAAAAAACTGTTACGTGAAATATGGTCATCAGATTTTCTGTAAGTCAATAACTTTGTTGAAGAGAGATAAATCTAACTTTGTCAACATTTATTAATGCAAGTTAAAGATAATCTAACTGCTAACTAAAATGTTTGCTAGATTTTACTTTCTTCACACACAAAAAACATGTTTTTACATAACAAAAATACAATTTCTTTAAAATTTTGTTTTGTCCTATTCTGACCATCAACTGTTCTCAAGATTTTTGCTATTTAACTCTAAGCCTGACTGTATCCACCGAAATGACCCATTTAACTGAAAATTTGTCGATCTATATTTCTCTCTTACAGAAACTCTGATAAAAACACGATCATTACATACTAGTTCTCTAAATTCTTGAGGTACTCCATCCTTTAAAAGCTCAAATAAATTTGGCAAGCTTCGTTTATTTTACAGATTTGTTCATAAATTTTAAAACCAAAATAAAATATTTCATTGTTTATGGTTATTGTACTAACCCTTATAATTTGTCACCTTAGTGCAGTAACAGGCTAACTCCTTATATAATCTAATAGGAGTTAACCCATTACTGCACTAAGGTGATAATATTATCTGTATAATATTGTTAGTTCTAAAATATGCCAGTTGTTTTCATGAGCTTATGCTGGATGCATTACCTTAAATATGATTATATTGATTTATAAACCAGTATTTTTCACCATTTCCAAAGGTTCTAAACTTTTTTTCTAGCTAAAAACGGGCTCTAAATTTACACATGTGCCTGTACTACACTAGTTCAAGCAATGCCATGACAGAAAACAAAAGTTTATAGTTAACTGCTCAATTTTATCCTTTTGATTATGATATCCCTTCAATTAACAAAGAATAGTTCCTAATTCAAAACAGGTTGAATTCATTATGTAAATTTAGTAGGGTAAGCTTTAATGCAAGTAAACATGCAGTGTAATGCATTCAAACTTGTTTACATGCAATCTACCACCAAAAAAACATGAACATGATTCTAGCAAACTAAGTTAAGTACTTAAGATTGTAACTGATCAAGTAGAATCTGTATAATACAAATATGAATGTTTGATAATGTTTTAGGATTTCATGTAGTCAGGAGATTACATGCATCTGAATTATAAAAGCAGGTATGACAGTAAAGAAAATGAGAAGAACAAGAGCTGTCAGTAGGATAGCGTGCTTGACTATTCTCAGTGCTTGATAGTAAAACAAGAGCCTTGATAATGTTAAAAAAAATTTTGCCTTGATAATGTAAGATTTTTCCGTTCAAAAAGTGCCATAATAATAGCTCTTACTATTATCTGAAAAGTCAAGTTATAAATTTGCATATATCAAGCAAGTGATCATCTAAGAAACACTACACAGATACACATGGATGATATAATTAGAGCATGCTGTTATCTGTATACAGAAAGTTATTTTAAAGCGAATATACTGTAAAATCATTATTATTCGTGGGGCACGAATTTTCGTGGTTTTCGTGGGTAGGTCAATCCACGAATTTAAGATCCGACGAACTTTTATCCCAACAAATACATCTTACCCAGTCTCTGTTCTATATATTACAAACATGTGTCGGCTCTTTTCCGGCCGATATTTCGTGAAATGGATGTAAATACAGACAGATAATCAGGTTAGTGACATATTAAATCCGTTTGCAATATTAAAGAAACTTGAAAGAAAACTCGATTATATAAAGTCCTCAATTTACTGTCACAAATGTCACATATACATACTTTATTGTTGTAGTCTACTAGAAACAAGAATACTTGACATAATCGAGTAAATATGGGAACCCAGGCAGTGCTATAATTATCGCTAATAAAAATTGTCAGTTTGCTCTTATTAATTAAAAAGAAATCTTTGATATTAATGTCGTAAGTACACAAAACTATAAAAAATACGATCCCTAAAACAGATTTATTGTACATTCTTTTGTCGTTTTTAAATGATCCAGTTTATATGAATTTTAATCTGTATTTGTGCGAATGCTATTCCGTAAACATCAAAGACGCCACCGACTTTTACAAGATTCACATATACTCGTGTTATTTACCGAGACTAATTGATATGCATGTAAATTTACACAGTCGCTGTGACGTTGCGTGTAGTTACTGTCAAATATGTTAAGACCAATTCAGGGTGTAAACTTTTAAACTCGCTGGTTAAAACCTGTCAGGTGTCGTATAAATTATGCGATGTTTACATCGGCGAATTACAGGGTCAGTGTGTCCAATGGAGGTGCATATCATGTCACATAAATGTGTTAATTGCAGTCAATTATCGGCAGTAACATTACTGTGCTATATTAGAGTTAATATGCCCAGAGGCAAGGATTAAATTTATTGACAAGCGCAGTGTGACAAGTAAAGATATGTACACGTTGTAAGTAAAAATGTTCGGCAGTTAAGTTTAAGATTAGTTTGCATTAGGTTACTGAATTTTTTTTAACAAGAAAACGAAAATTCACGAATTTAAGAACCCACGAAAATGCCGGTTTTGATAAAACCACGAAATTTCATGCCCACGAATATAAGTGAATTCGCAGTAACTTAAATTAAGGGAGGTAACAATTTCAACAGATGCATTTTTCAAACTTTTTTTTCATTAAAGTCACATTCAATTTTCACTTTTTCAGTTACATACTAACAATTTAGATCTACAAGCAAAGAAAGGGAGAACAAGCAAAGCAAAGTAAGGGAGAAAATCAACAGTAAACATAAGAGAATAAGCATATGATTGTGCAAATGTTAGTCCGAGGCAAACTGAAGCAAGTTGCCTTTCTGATGGCTGCGTAATTTTATCATTTTTTACAAAAATTACAAAAGTAGCGTCATTTGGTATAATTAAACTTCAATTTTTTCTGAAGAAAAGAAATTGTTGAAAGCTAAAAAAAGTGTTTGTTTCTATTGAACTGATTATATACATCTTTTTTTTTACACAAATTCCAAATTTCTTTTGTATTTATATAATACAGTTTCAACTACAACGAAAAAGCAGCATTTATGAATGGTCTAAAACATTCAATTGTGGAAGCAGACAATTTCAGGCCAATGCTTAGACATGTAACTGCCATTTACTAATAACAATGTACTTTAATAGTAATAAATTGCTAAAACATTTAATTTTCTTGGTGACCAGCCTGTAAATAAATTGCTGGCTTCTAAGCAGGAAACTGTTTGTAGTAAATCATGCTCTAACTGAATATGACTATACCAGTAAGTAAGAAAATATGAGTATTTAAATCTGTTAATTATATCAAATGCTTATCCTCTATAAACAATAGCATATCTTCCCTTACACCAAATAAACCTTTGCCTCTTTATAACAGATATCATTTAAAATAAAAAAATTTTGTAAAATTAACAGCTGACTATTTTTGTCATTAAATATTTGAAATGATTTACAGAGGCAAAAGTTTTGTAAGAAATGAAACATGCAGTATAAAAAAAGGTTAAAAAGATTGTGAAATTGAGCTTGGCTGGGATTTTTAAACTTAATTCCTTGGGTTTATTTGTAATACTTCGCCCTTTCCATTTTATATAAAATAACCAAGTAATTAACCCAAATTTAACATATCCCCTGACAAAACATCATGCAAGGCAAAGTTTTAACTGCACTAGATTTCTGGGATACATATACACAAATGAGCCGCGTCACGACAATACCAACATAATGGGTTTGCGACCAGCATGGATCCAGACCAGCCTGGCCTGCGCATCTGCGCAGTCTGATCAGGATCCATGCTGTTCGCTATCAGTTTCTCTTCTTGTTATAGGGTTTGTAAGCGAACAGCATGAATTCTGATCAGACTGCGCGAAGCGCAGGCTGGTCTGGATCCATGCTGGTCGCAAACGCATTATGTTGGTTTTGTCGTGATGCGGCACAAATAAACATTCAAATATGCTGGTTGTGAAATCTGGGGTTTTAGTAAGCAGTATATTCTTGCAGTTTGAAAGAAGATTAAGGATTGACAGGATTTCTCAAACTGCCCAGAGCAAACACATAATGATATAATACATGAATCAATAAATCATGCTTTTCAGAGGTTTCATTATGCTTTGGAAAACAGTGTTTAAAACCCAGCAACAGGTTTTGGGCTACCCATGTACAGCTGATTTCTTTTACAAACCCTTCGGCCAGTATTCATATACCTACCTATCTTAATAAATGACCTAACTTGTTTCAAACATAATGAAATCCTTGGCTTTCAAATAACACATGTATATAACATAATTTCTTGCCAAGTTAATATAGAATTCAAATTACAACCATTATGGTCAATGACCTTTAAGTGCCCTTCATTCATCCTACCAGGCATATTGGTAAAACCATCGATCTCCAACCAACATTGCAAGATATCCTAATATAAATTGAAAGATCTCCACCAAATGTAACATTTCTATAATACATGCTTGATAACAAGAAAAATAAACAATAATTTTTGCAATCCAGATTGATTTAGCTATCTACTCCTTTTAAAAGCATTTCTACTTCCTACATTGCAATGTCAAGGCTGAAAAGATTGTCTATTTCTGGTCTTCTCGATAAATAATATTTGGATTTTCATTAAAGAAATAAAAACATAGTATCAATATCTCTAATACTTTGACAACAATTTTGAAATTATAATGAAATGTATAAGATTAATTACACAATTCTGAGGCAGTCAGAAAACCAGAAACAAGACAGTTTTGTTCAAGCATACCATAAGTTTTATTAGAGTAAAATACCAACAAACTTTGACACATCAACTTTATTTTGTTAACCAGTACCTTAATCTGGAGCACCAGGTACATCACTTTAATACTACACCAACAAGCTGTCTGAGTAAGCCACTCGATAAATTCTAAGTTTAAACAAATATATACAAATAAATGTAAAAGGATTTCTACATACCTGTTGTTTACTCCAACACAGTTGTATATATAGGGACAATGATGATCAAATACTTTCACACATCTGTTACAAACTTTACAATGTTTTGACCGCAGCGGTTTAACCGTTCTACACGTATGACACAGTCTACTCAATGGGTTATCTCCCTGCTTCCATTCATCAAAATGAGCAACCTAAATTGTTTTGTAAAGTAAAAAGTTCAGCAAACCATTCAAAATGAAGACAATAGCAAAGTTGTCATAAAGTACCATACTTCAATAATTCTCATCAAATCTGGTATCAAAAGTTTTCTTCACAACCTGAACCTATTTATTTTTGTTCTGATAAGACCTTTCATTCGATAATTCTATTTATGTTATGCATCAATGAATTTCTAGTGGAAACATTTGCATTAAATACATTTGAAATAACAGCTTGTTATTTTTTTTCTCAAAAATGTTAAAACAGTCATTTTCATTGAAAGTTATAGCTGAAGTAAGAAAGAGTTCTTAAAACACTTTGTACCCCAACACCATCAAAAGAAAGGGAACGATTTGATAAAATATATTATTTTTGTCATACACAGTTCCATTGCACCACTGTTGTAGCTTGAATTAAAAGTACATTCCATTATAACAGAGGTGTTTTTACACCTGATTATATTACAAAGGTCTTCTTTAACCTGTCAACATGCATTTCATAAAATATAAATATAGTAAGTAAATATAGAATAGTATACAATGTAAAACAAATACTTCACCCATTAAAGCTTGCCACCAAAGTGTTTAACATTTCAGAAAGTAAACAATGAGAATATATAATCCTTCAATCTGCTAGAAATGAAATTGATAAGTCTTTGCCACAAATATAGAGCCAGTCCAGACTACACATCAATGTAGTCTGACCAGGCTCTATACTGTCAGTAGCCTAATATTTTAATATTGTAATCCTTATACAATGTACTTTGAATGGACTGTTCAAAATTTAAAGCAAAGCAGGGTAAAGGTTATAGCATTAGCTAAGATGTTTCAGGGTCTTTCAAATATAAAGACCCTGGATGTTTCAAATAAGCTGTCATGCAGTTAGCTGAGGCGGTGAAAAGTTTATGTTAGAATGCAAACATATAGCATTTTAAAATTCTGCCATCCAAAATGAACCGAGATTGGATAGTGAACAGTTTTCCCTCAAAATTTATTATTGAATGGAATAAACACATACCATACCATTAGTTTATGCTACAGACCATAAGAATATAAAAGTAGAAAAATATCACTTTTTAAAATATCATTTTTTTCTGCGATTCATTCATGATAGTTTTTAAATCGGCCCGAGGATATAAGCTAGCCATTATAAAGTGCAGTTATGCCGGTGAAAAGGCACGATTTTAGCATTTAATCATTCAGACGTCCTTCTGGAATGTACAGGAATTCAGCATATATTGTGGTGCTCCAACACTATTAATAGTTTTACTCCTTCCTTATGCAGATACCAATCTTGTATGATATGTCATACATGCGAAAAATGGGAAATTATAACCCCTTTTATATAATTATCAGTGCATATTATATTAAAGTTAAATGTTATAAATAAAAGCTCTGGTTATCTCTTCCGTCATAAAGAAGTAGATACCTTGTTATAATCTACCTGTTTTATAGCCATATCATATTCTGGTATGTTACGAGGAAGGTAGCCGGGATCCGTCGTACTGCAGTGGAATAGGCAAAACCACATGACTACATTCATGAAGAAGAACACAGTGTGTACCAGTTGTAGGTCATACCAGGTGTATGGTAGGCACTGAAATATTACAAATATTAAAAGATATATCATTAACTAGCAGTGTGTCTGTATATGTGAGAGAGTCACTAACAACTAATTCTTGAAGATTATATATGTGCATTATTGGCATACATTAAATTTAAGACATTTTCAAAGTGAACTTGAGCTTGATGTTTGTGTCATGTGACTATTTCATTTTGTGTCATGTGACTATTTCAGTTTGTGTTACGTAACTATTTCAGTTTGTCTCAGGGGACTATTTCAGTTTCTGTCATGTGACTACATATATTTCAGTTTGTGTCAGGTGACTATCAGTTTGTGTCAGGTGGCAACATGTTTTTCAGTTTGTGTCATGTGACTGTTTTAGTATGTGTCATGTGACTACATCATAGCATGTATTTCAGTTTGTGTCATGTGACTACATGTTTTTTCAGTTTGCATCATGTGACTATATCAGCAATAAGTATATATGACTTAAACAGAAGTTGTAGACTGTTACAATATAACGCTTATACAAAGTATTTAACTTCTTACATCATATAACTATCAATCATGTTCATTATACATAATTTCTGTTTCATGTGTATCATAAAATTATCAGTATTATAAATAAAACTTTACAATACAGTTACTTATACATTTCAAAGAAAACTACAAGTTAAAGACAAAGAACAGTTATATAGAATTTTGAACACTTCTGGGTAAAAGATAACACTTACCTTGATTATATACATGGGGTACCCCCACAACAGGAGATTACAGAAGAAGAATAACAATGGACCTTTACTATTTCCAGGTGGACCAAATACTATTGACCTGTCAGAAGCAAAAAAAAAAATTTTTGTATACAGTCACTTATTATAAATGTGCACCAAAATATACTAATGACTAAGCTATGTAAAAATTGCAATACTGGAAGTTAAAGATCCAAAATGCATGAAAACAGTCAACTTTTAGTTAATCTTATTTTTAACAGTCAAAGAAAAAAAGAATCTAGCACAAGTTGAAATTAACTTTCATCATACTTAGTCATAAGACTTAATTGTCATTAAAATATCACATGCAGTCAGAATTACACATCCAATATTTCATAAATGTACACTGATACATTAAAATGCTTACCAAAAATCTATTTTTGGCATAAAACTAGTTTTCTGTTTGAGCTCAGCTTTCAGATAATCTATGACAGCTATATGTTTACGCCCTGTAGCCAACATCAGTGGGGTCTTCCCATTCTTATCAGGCAAGCCTAACTCTACACCATCCTACAAGATATATATATTTTCTCTAGCTGAATCTAAATAGCTTCTATGTACGTGAAAAAACAACAACAAACTACTGCCAGTTGTAAAACGCATAAAAGATAATGTAGGAGTTATAATACTGGTCCTTTTAAAACCAATTACATGTACTATAACATAAGATGGTTCAAAATTCAAATTATCACATTATTATAGCCTGCTAAAATGAAAGTTCATAAACATTCATTGCAATGTCAAAACAAAGTTATATATGTTTTTAATATGTTGTAACAAAAAAATATTTTTTTAGAAATACACAGAATTCCCAAAAGGCAATAGCAACTATCAATTTCTCAGTTTTATTTTGTATCCATTTAACATAAAAAGCATCTTAATTTTTTTAATGCAAACCGATATATTTATAATATTTTATCTAGCCAATTAAAACTATATATTACTATACACACTTACTTGCTCACATAACTCTCTAACACTAGTAAGGTCACCATTTATACATGCCAAATGTAGAGGAGTTTGACCGAAGTTGTCTTTCTGACGTGGGTTAAACCCAGAATAAATCAACAATCTCATCAACTCTGATTTTCCTGTAAGAAATTTACATCACACATTTCATAAATTCTAGTAACAACAATATAATAATAATTGAATCTATTATCCTTCAATTGCCCTTTAATAAAATTTATGAATAAAGTGCAGCTTACTTTTTATGAATGAATTGCAGCTTAGGATTATTACATTATTTTCTATAATATTATTTTATTACTATTATGAATGAAATGACATCAAATTCCATGATTTTGTTTGTTTGCTTCATTTTACTCCTTTTTCAACAGTATTTCAGTCATATAGGCGGGTAGTTTCCTAACCATCGTTCCTGGAGAGTTACACCAGTACTAGACTACCTTCCTCCGCGCTAAACTACCAAAGCATCTCCCGGGGATCGAACCCACGCCAGAGAGGTAACTGGATTAGAAGTCATCGACTCTAACCCCTCGACCACGGAGGCGGTCTCAAATTCCATGAAAAAATGTTTTATTGCAGTAAATCATTATACAAAGTATTAATATCTGACATGTGTTTGCAGTTCAGATCAAAATATTCGTCCTTCGGGTACCAGCCCATACTATTAATCTATATGTAGCATTCAGGTACATGTAACTGTTAAACAGTTACCTTCAAGCTAGATATTATGGTCTGCACTGGCAGCCAGTGTATTATTATTTATACTGTAAGATTTTTATAGTACAACAATTACCTTTGAATGCAGCCCAATGAAGTGCTGTGTCTCCATCTCTATCTACCATTTGTAACCTGGCACCTTTACCCATTAGATATCCAGCTAACATTGTCTGTCCATACTGAGCTGCCACAATCAATGGTGTACAACCCTTATTGTCAGTAATGTCTAAACTAACACCAGCTTGAATAAGAATGTCTGTGATAGCTATATGCCCATTCACACATGCCCAGTGTATGGGACGAGCACCAAGATCATTGTTACTCGGTTCATTCACTGGTGCCTTATGTTCAAGTACATATCTAAGTATAGCAGTATGTCCCCCTAAACAAGCCCAATGGGCTGGCGTGTGTCCCTTTTCATCTCTCATTGACAGAATATCTGGCCCCTCTTGCTCAACAATGGCCTGAACTGGAACCAACATCCTAAAACATACAAAATATCCATTTGAAATGCATCTACAAACAATGTACCTTATATTTTACCAGTTATATTTTACAAGGCAAAAATTTACAATACCTGTTATTAGTAACTTACTGAAGGCATCTTTAGTAACTACAATGTAATAGATGAGCTATTTCTTTAAGAAAATAAGAACTTGTGAAGTTGTATTGAAAATGAAAGAATATTAAATGGGTGTGGGACCTTTAACTTATATATGTCAGATGTATTGCTGATTAACACAAAGACTTCAGGATTGATCCTTTTCTACTTTTAAGTGTTCTCACAGAGCAACAGATAAGGTGCGTATTTGCGTATTTACGCAATTAATTTTGTAAAATACGCAATTGATTTTTTAAGAATGCGTATCAAAACCCATTAAAAAAATTAAAACACGCAATTGTCTTAAAAACCCGTGCGTATTGTCATTTTCATCACCGCAAAATTAATCTGTCTTACAGTTACACTCGTAGTTTTGGACAAATTATATCGATATGCACGATATCCGAATATTCCCGTAACAATGCCAACGAATCAACGGTCTCCGGTCTTCCACGGTCCCGGGTCTCCAAAGACCGACTAAGCATGAGACCGTCAATTTGTCTACTCAGGTTGACGGTCTTTACAGACCGGCAGAGACCGTTGATTTTGCGGAGACCGTCAATAAGTAGGTCCCAGCTGTAACAATAGACGCTTTGAAAAGCAATATGGCGTCGTACAAAAGGGAAAATGATTTGAAACAAAACAGTCGCAAATAATCAAAAATCAGTCAGAAAACGAACTTGTTAAAAATATTATGGAATATAACATGAGCATTTTATATAAAAATAAAACAATTGTGAAAAGTTCTAGTAAATTGTTAATCCTATTTTCTTTTTAAAACAGTTAAGATATCTAAATTTAATTTTATTGATATTGAAACCATAAAATTCATATCTTCATAATTGAATACCCAATTGATCTTGAAATCATAGGGTATCGAGTTTTTGAATACCCAATTAAATGGAGCCAATACCCAATTCCAAAAGAAAGGATGGAGTAATACCCAATTCATTTTTAAAGCTTATCTGTTGCTCTGGTTCTCAGGTAGTTTATAAAAACTTTGAAACACATCCCGTCTGTTAAGCAAAAATGTAATACACCTGCATCAAGGTATCAGTACAAAAACATTAGTTATTTAGTATTAAAATGAAAACATACAGGTCATTAAAATTTAAATACATAATTGTTGTTTTTTCTTTCATTACATGTTATCTATGTTTATTAATTTATTTTATCCGCGTGAAAGAAAATTAAATCCAAATATGTAATACTGAATGGTATGGACTACTTTTCGTAACTTTTAGGTTCTTCTGACAATTTTTTGTCATCACCTAGGCAATCTAATAATTAAATCAATATAATTTCGTTTGTCAAGGAATAATTTTACTTTTGTTGGGTGTACTATGAAACCTTTATTATTCTCAAATTACACAAAAAGATCTGTGACAATCTGGCTACATATTATCTGTAAAACAAGTTGTAAATATATATAAATAATCCAGACTTAGCAACCAACAAACATGACAAATCAACAAACCATTTTATCTATTGAGGAATAAACTTTTAACTTTTACATAGAAAAAAAAACATGTTAAATAAGAAAGAAATATACAAGCAGTAGTAACTTAGAATTATATGAATATGTGTTAAGTTTAAGATACACCTGTTAGGGCATGACCCAACAGGAAAAATAATTTGACATGACCGGTCATTTTTCCGTAGAAGATTCTGCCATATTTGCACTAAGTCGTTCTTTACTTACCCAGATTTGATAGCATCAAATATAGGATGTGATTTATGCGAGTGTGCATCGCCATCTGCATCCTTGGGATCAGTCCCTGGTTCGTAAAGTAGAGGCTGCTCCATTTGCGACTGACTTGTCCAAGTCGACATTTTGGTGTTTACTGTAATAAGAAATGGTTAAGTATTTAGACGAAATATTTAATATTCAAAATCTATAAGCATCAATAATTTCACAGAATTTGCTATAAAATAAATTATAAAATTAGAAATATATTGCTGTAGATGGAAATGTATCATTATTTGAGATATATCTTTAATTTCTTGTCAATATATTTCGTTGGCTTACAGACACTTCACCCCCCAGACACTTCACCCTAGGCCCTTTTTTGCAGACACTTCACCCCTCAGACAGTTCACCCCTCATTTTAAGAAATTTGATTGAGACACTTCACCCCTCATTTTTTTTTATTTTGTGTTTAACAATTATTTATGTAGATTATGTTAAATACATTCAATAGTGATTGAGTATGTTTATTGTTTTAACCCATTGTCTAATAAATTTTGAATTGATTTAATTCTTGAAGTTTTGGTACTTAAGTTTGTTTTCAGTTTGATCTTTACCATATAATAATCATTGAGTTACACTCATTTGGTGATGATTTGTGCTTTAACCTTGTGCTTAATTTACATAATTGGTGCTATTTATTTGTTTAATAAATGACATTATGAATGATCTTTGTATGAAATGCAGGATAATTGTGTCTGATAATGATGATAAATAATTTATATTTACCATATTTATAAAGCAACCGATTCATTCATTCATATTCATTTATATCATTTTATTTATTAAGAATAAATTTAATTTTCATACAATTATACCATTTTAATTCAATTTAATATCTAATCAATTGTGAGATAACCGTGAATAAACAACTAATCAACATGTTGAATAAACAAGGTGACATGCAATAAACACTTAATGGATGAAAGTGCTGTGATATATACATTTGGCAATACAACCAATTAACCTAAATCAGCTTTAACTTAGTAAAAATAAAGGAAATAAGCAAAATTTTTAATCAAATAATACTAAAAATAATAAATATAAAACATATATAAGCATTTTGTTGTTGACCAACTTGTTTTATTTACTTTATAGAAAAAAAATGGATGAGGGGTGAAGTGTCTTACTGATTTTGGGGGGTGAAGTGTCTTAAGGGGTGAAGTGTCTTCAAAATTTGAGGGGTGAAGTGTCTGGGGGGATGAGGTGTCTTGCTACCATTTCGTTTTATTTTATTTATTCTAATTGTTAGCTACTTCCGCTTTCGGTTTGTTGGAAAAAAAATATAAAAATGTGAACATCAAAAGTTGTTAAATTAAACTCCACTAAAGCCATCAGAATAGCATTATACTAGTGAAATTATGATTCCTACAAAAAGTTTCACGATAATCATAATATATTTATCATTGTCATTTGTTTCTGGAGAATTTATGACTGCAGGGGTTGTGGCAGTGGGCTCTGCTATTTCTGCAGGTTTACTGGCAGGGTTCAACGTGATAAACTGTATGATATATGAATGCTGTACTGACAGATGGTTGAAAGCAAATTACACAGGTAATTATTAACTCTCCTGCTTCAATACCTAGGAGAGCGGTAGGCTAGTGGTTAGGTGATGGCCCCTCAACCAACAGGGATCATATGGGTTTGAGCCCTAATTTGGTCACGACCATGTTTCTTCATAAGACACTTGGTTTCAGAAAGCAGAGGAACAAAATATTAAAATAAGTTGCTAGAACTTCAATGTTTCACAATCAAGCAAGTAATATGTGTCACAAGGTGAGACAAATGTGCAGCCTGACTGGGACTTGAGCCAGGACCCTTTGAATACCGTACTGTCGCTTTACCAACTGAGGTATCTGGCCGATTACATACTAACTCCCCTAAATAGTGAACAATTCTGAACGGTGACATACACCCCTGCTTAATTAAAAATAATTCTAAAAAGTACCATCACGGTCCCCCATTGGGCGCTTTAAAATGACTCATGGTGTGACAGATGTGCAGCCTGACTTGGACTGGAACCCAGGACCCACAGAATACTGTACCGTGGCTCTACCCACTGAGCTATCTTGCCGATTAAACACTGTAGTTTAAAAACCAACTGAGCTATCCTTAACCCTCAACCCTTATATATATGTTTAAACAAAATTAATAGAAGGGTTAATTTTTTTCTTGAAATCCTCGTATATTTATTTTTAAACGGTAAAACCTCAGTTTTGTGTAGTCGCTAATGTTTTGTGTAGTCGCTAATGTTTAAACCCATTAACAACATTTTCTCAATATTTTAAAATGTGCAGTCATTTATATCTTATTCATCAAAATATGTAATATTTAATTTCAACTTGTCTGCTTTACACAAAATTTAGATTATTAAGGTCATCAATGAAATTCAGTGCAGACATCTACAGTGTAAACAATAAGTCCCTCAATAATGTGGGGTCCATGCTAAGGGTGTAACGGTATGCCGTACTTGCGGATTATCGTACTGTTTTCACTTGGTACGGTTCACGGTACGACAAATCAGAACGGTACGGCATTTCAGACCATTTTCAAGGGGAGTATTTATTTCAGTATAGAATGCAAAAGATGAATTTAAATCAGTGTCAGTGGGTTTTAAGTCCAAAATATGAAAGCTTTTTTGATTTCAGGTGAAAAAATAATCAGGAAAATGCTTCTTCAATCTCCTGAATTTATTTTTCCGACATATTGTTATTTTTGTAAGAACTGACCATCGGCTGTAACAACCTTTTTGGAAATACTTTTTGGCCAGCTAAAAAAATTGTTAATAAAATTATAAATAATAATACAATATCTTGACACTTTTGAAAATAAAACCCACATTGTTGAATTCAAAATATTGTCAATACACTGCGGCTAGTAGTTGTGTAGAGTTATGGCTACGCTATTTTGTTGGATATTTTCCATATTCGTATCATGGACCCTGTACCACGATACGTATAGTATCTTGAGGTGAGCGTATCGTAACAACCTTAGTCCATGCTAGATAGTGAAGTATATTAATACAGGGATATAAAGAATAAAATATTATGAATTCTCAGCAGTCACCATGCTCAACAAGATTTGCAATTAAGCTGTATCTGTATATCTGTATCTATACTGACCCAGAGTAAGGTATTGAAAGCATTCTTTATGACCTAGATTATATATTATAACATATTTACAGCATATTGTCTGAAGGAATGAAGTTTTCAGACTCTGAAAAAATTGGGATATTTAGGGGGTCTATAGCCGATAAAGCCCTTCCCCAACTCCACTCACTGTTGGATCTGTGCTTGTTGTTATTGATATAATTTTATATGATATTATTTCTGTATGGTAATAATCTGATGTTTGGTTCCTGATAAGGAAGCTTCTACATTTAGACCTAAGATACTCTACCTATTAAAATATCAAAATGTGACATTTACTTAGGTTGATGACCAATGTTTGCAGGGTTTACTTATCTTTTTTTTTTTATCAAACAAGAAGCATATTTGTTGTACATGTAATGATGTATATTTTTATCTCAAATATATGAATCAAAGAAATGAAATGAGGTTAAATTTTGCCTTTAGATGGTAAGACCACTAATATTTTACAAAGTTAATTTAAGTGGTGGGTAGGGATATGCATTACCTTTAGTGATGGCTCTTGTTTTGCTTAAAATCACATTGATGTATATAATACATGTATATAAAAAATGTTTTATTTTCCATTTTTTACAGATCTGAAATTAACTTTAGATGCTAAGTTATATGGACAGCATCTGGTTATTGAACCTATAGTGAAGCATTTGAAAGCACATGGTAAAGAAAACCCAAGTAAAGCACTTGCTTTGTCTTTTCATGGGTGGACAGGAACTGGCAAGAATTATGTTAGTCGTATTGTTGCTGAAAAATTGTTTGTTAAAGGAATGAAGAGCAAATATGTACATCTTATCTCAGCCACGAAAGAGTTCCCACACAAAGAGATGGTGCCATTTTATAAGGTCTGTACCTAATGTTTCTAAAAGCAGAAATTCTAAGCATTTTCTTTTTCTTTATTTTTGGGAACAGATCATATTCCAACTTTCCAACTTTACTGGTGGAGGAAGACTTTTGGTGCCCTTCCGTGCATTATTTCAACCACAAACAGGCCGGCACCTGAGTAGAACCATGAAACAATTACTACTGATTTCTGATATACATGTATATAAGTGCAACATGCAGATGTATATCTTTAAGAAAATGACATTTTGTTTATTTTTATTGAAAATGTCAATCTAGACCAAGGAAAAGATATGGATTGCAATGAACATGTGTCTCAACAAATAGTTGTATGTTTTTCGTACATGCTTTTGTAACATTTCTTTGAAGAGCTCTAAAAAGAATATACATGTAAATGTTGCGATTACCTGTTGTTTGATCCTTACGTTAAAAATTGTCTTTTACTCCAATAAATAGGACAAGTTACGAGACTTCATAGAAGCACGTGTGAAAGAATGTCCACGCTCGTTCTTCATATTTGATGAGATGGACAAAATGCCAGCAGGAATTATTGATACGCTCAAACCATACCTGGACTTCTATGAAAATCTAGGAGGAGTTGACTATAGGAAGGCAACTTTCTTCTTTTTGAGGTAAAGTGAAAAGAGAGAGCATGGCTTCCATGAAGTTCAAAAATTTGGAAGTCAGCAACTTCAATATGTATGACATTGGAAGTCTTATAAATATATTTACTAAGGAAAACCATTTTTTTTTGGAAGTCACAAGCCAAAGTCACTGAGTAATTGATTCCCAAACTTCCAATAATGGAAGCCTGGAATTAGGCATACTAAGAATAGCTGATGCATTTTATTTGCTTGACTATCTGAGAGCTATTGCACTCACCCAATTGTGAACTTTGGCGTCACACTTTGGTATTTTTCACAGGTTATCGGCGTGGGACCAAGCCCTACCCCTAAGGTACCACCCCCCAGGACCCACAATACCACCCAAATATACTTCAATACATTCAAAATACAATTTTTTGATAGAATTGTTTGATTTTGTATTGACATGTATTTTGAATGTATTGAAGTATATTTGGGTAGTATTGTGGGTCCTCGGGGGTGGTACCTTAGGGGTACTGGGCTTGGTCCCACGCCGATAACCTGTGGTATTTTTTAGCATGCAATTTGGGTCTCCAAAACTACTGAAGGGAATAGGTTGAAACTTCACACACTTATTTGATTCTCTGTTCAAGGCCCGTAACTCTAACATGGATTTTGACAGAATTATGGCCATTTTTTCAAATAGCCAATTCTACATTTTTTAGGCTCATGTTTAATATCAAGCACTGAGAATAGATCACACTGTCCTACTGGCAGCTATTTTTCTTTATAGATTTTGTTCATTAACCTTTTCCCTTACGACAGCTTTTTCCCCCTTCCCCTTTTTTGAGGCCTCAAACAGTGAAAAAATGTCCTCTTTAGGCCCCAAACACCTGTTTTTCGTTTGAGAAATGTTGTTAAAAAAGTGACCACTTTTTCAACGCCGTCCCCTATTCAAATGTTACATCAGGGGGTTGCCAGAAGGGGGATGTGCCCCCTTCTGTTTGGGGGGTTTGAAGGGGGCGGCAGTCCCCCTCATCGCCAAGAAAATTTTGGGCATGTTACAGGCTGAAAATGGCCTCAGGTCGATCTTAGGGTAACTAGTAACCATCGCTGAAAAGCCTTTTACTCTATCTCAATTCATTGAGAAGTTGCAGCACTTTAAAATCAGTTTTGATGAAAAAAAACCAATGCAAAATAGTGATTTTTGGCAATTTTGATATGTCCCCGTTGCCATGGTAACAGGAAATTTACGATTGAGCATGCTGTTAAAGAGGCTATGGTCTAGTCAACATTTATACCAAGTTTTATCAGTATTGAAGCATTTTTCATAGTTTCATAGCAGTTTGAACTTGTAACAGGAGGCTTTTCAATAGAATGGCCATGTTTTGCAATATGCTCATGGGGTAAAAGGTTAATTGATGTCGTTAAATAGAAGACTTTTTTATGACGTATTATGGGAACGCCCCTGGCGGGCGGTCGAGCTTATGGGCGGGCGGGCGGCGTCCAATTTTGTCCGGAGCATATCTCCTACATGTATGGAGGGATTTTAATGAAACTTCATAGAAATGTTCACCACTATGAGGAGCAGTGTCGCGCACATGAACCAGGTTTCTAGGTCAAAGGTCAAGGTCACACTTAGAGCTCATTGAAAAATGCTTGTCCGGAGCAAAACTTCCACATGTATAGAGGGATTTCAATATTACTTGGCACAAATGTTCACCATTGTGAGGCGGAGTGTCGCGCGCAAGATTCAGGTCCTTGCGGCCAAGGTCAAGGTCACACATAGAGGTCAAAGTTCAGATGAAAATATGAAGATGTGTATATGGACCATTTAGTCATCATTTATTGAGGGATTGTAACACAAATGGTCATTATCAAGACTATGGCTGTGATACATATAATTTAGGTCAATATATACAAGGTCAAGGTCACTAAAGATGGTGAAATATCAAGATTTTGTCCGGAGCATATCTCCTACACGCATGGAGGGATTTTAATGAAATTTCATAGAAATGTTCACCATTATGAGAAGCCATGTCACGCACATGAACTAGGTCTCTAGGTCAAAGGTCAAGGTCACACTTAGAGCTCATTGAAAAACGCTTGTCCGGAGCAAAACTTCCACATGCATACAGGGTTTTCAATATAACTTGGCACAAATGTTCACCATTGTGAGGCTGAGTGTCGCGCACAAAATTCAGGTCCCTGCAGCCAAGGTCAAGGTCAAATATAGAGGTCAAAGTTTAGATAAAAATATGAAGATGTGTATAGGGACGATTTAATCATCATTTATTGAGGGATTGTAACACAAATGGTCATTATCATGACTACGGCTGTGACACATGTACTTTAGGTCAATATATGCAAGGTCAAGGTCACTAAAGATGGTGAAATATCCAGATTTTGTCTGGAGCATATCTCCTACATGTATGGAAGAATTTTTATAATACTTTATGGAAATGTTCACCACCATGATATGTATTGCTCCATGCATGATCCAGGTCAAAGGTCAAGGTCACACTTAGAGCTCATTGAAAAACGCTTGTCCGGAGCAAAACTTCTAGGGGGATTTCAATATAACTTGGCACAAATGTTCACCATTGTGAGGCTGAGTGTCGCACGCAAAATTCAGATCCCTGCGACCAAAGTCAAGGTTACACATAGGGGTCAAAGTTCAGATAAAAATTTGAAGATGTGTATAGGGACCATTTAGTCATCTTTTATTGATGGATTGTAGCACAAATGGTAATTATCATGACTACAGGTGTGACACATTTAATTTAGGCTAATATTTGGAAGGTCAAGGTCACTGGAGATGATTAAATATCCAGATGTTGTCCGGAGCATATTTTCTACATGCATGGAGGAATTTTAATGTTACTTTATAGAATTGTTCACCACCATGAGACGTAGTGCCCTGCACATGAACCAAGTCTCTAGGTCAAAGGTGAAGGTCACAGTTAGAGCTCATAGAAAAACGCTTGTCTGGAGCAAAACTTCTACATGCATAGAGGGATTTCAATATAATTTGGCACAAATGTTCATCATTGTGAGGCTGAGTGCCGTGCATAAAATTCAGGTCCCTGCGACCAAGGTCAAGGTCACACATCCTGTGCATATCTTCCCTACTGATTTGTTTTAAGGTTCATTTAACAACACAGTGCCAAGAATAAAAACTTGCTTGCTAGATAACACTTATCCATAATGCCCCCATCTCCATCTAAAGTTTTCGTAAACGGGCGTATTTTGTGACTATGGCACCCTTGTTTTTAATTTGAGATGTATTTTGTTTTATTTCTAATTGTCTATTTTAAAGAGTGCTATTCCAAGCCTTTTCTTCTTCACCTTTATTTAACAAATGAATAATGCAATATAAGAATAATCTGGGATATACAATAACGTATGTCTCAGGAATAATTAATTAGTTTATTCCCCTTGAGATATAAATGAAAATACAGTGATGGTCCTTTATAGTCATGAATAATTGATGTTAGAGTGATAGGTATTGAAACAAATAGAGTAATTTCCACTTAGGTTGTAAAAAAGAAACAAGAGTAACACCCCTTTATGTATGAAAAAAAAATGTATATTTCAGTAACACTGCTGGTTATGATATAGAAAGAAAAATTGCTAACTGGGAGAGTAACTTTGACTTAAGGAGATTGAGAGTTATTCCCCTTTAAATTATAAAAATACAAGAGTTACATCCCTTTATGTATAAAATATATATATATTTAAGTAACACAACAGGTAATGATATAGCAGAGAGAACCATTGCTAACTGGAAGAGTAACCTGGAGATGGAAAGTTCTTCCCCTTTAAATTATAAAAAAACAAGAGTTACATCCCTTTATGTATAAAATATTTATATATATTTCAGTAACACAGCCGGTAATGATATAGCAGAGAGAACCATTGCAAACTGGAAGAGTAACGTGGACAGAGAAAGTATCAAACTAAAGGAAATGGAGGAAGTTATCAGGCTTCCTGCTCTCAACAACAAAAGTTGGTCACAATTTCTTCCTATAGATATGTTGTAGTCCGCCCACTTGGCTCAACAGGGAGGGCATTAGACTTTTAATCCAGGGGTTGTTGGTTTGCCAAGCGAAAGTAACTGAATGTAGTGAAATATGAAATTTCCATATTGCAGATTGACTGTTGCAAGTTAAGGTTATCTATAACAACTTCTGTCTATAACATTAAGTCTCCAGCATTATAATATTACAGTACAACATCTGTAGACCGCACCTCTATACAGTAGAGTATTCAAATCTTTAAAGCAACAATATTGATTTTCCCCCCAAAAAATAAAAAATCAGTGTAAATTAAACCTCTCACCAACAGCCACAATCTTTGTCTCCAAAAGCTTGTTGATCCACACTCCATAGAAGTTGAACTATATCACCTCTTTTCCCTCAAGAAGTTTATTAATTACATTGACATATATCAAATAACTCTATATTAATTAACAAGAAAAAAAAATGTTCAAAAAAAAATGTTTGATTGGTTGTAATTATAAGGTAACCAGTGAAATGAAACTTTTAGTTACTGATTTTCTATTGCAGGTGGGATGTGGCATAGTGAACTCATTCTGAAGAATTTAATCACGGCGTATATACCATTTCTACCACTAGAGAGAGGTCATGTTAAACAGTGTATTAAAGATGGACTTGTATATAAAGGGTACTACAAATCAGAAGAAGAAATTTCTGATGCTAAAGTACAAGAAATTGCCGACGAGCTGCAGTATTATCCTGAAGGGATAAATATATTCTCCACCACTGGGTGTAAACGTATCCACGAGAAAATAGACTTCATAATGGAAGAGCTTTGAGGAAAATATTTAGTACCATGAAAGAATAAATATATTCTCAACCACGGGTTGTAAATGTTTTCACGAGAAAATGGACTTCATAATGGAAGAGCTTTGAGGAAATTATGTAGTAACCCAATGGTACTGGTATAATCTCAACTACAGGCACAAGAAAACAGAAGTCATAATAAAGACCTCTAGGGAACTGAAAGTATTATTGTTTTGCTTAGACAATGGGTGTTTAATGCATTGTTGTGAAAATAAACATTATTTTTGAAGAACTCTAACAAACTTCAGTACTATTTTAAAAGATTGTTAACTATTCAACTACAGCAGTATTATTATGGGAAAAAAACTGTAACAAACTTCTTGTGAATTCCTGAAGATATAAATACATGTATATCTGTAACCATAGGCTGTAGATGAAATTATGGGAAAATAGACTTCCATATGACAGAGCTGTTAGAAATACTTGCTTCACAGACACATAATATGGTCAAATTATTCTGACCAGGGCCAAAAAAAAATATTGTATCACATATTTTGGTGTTGTTATTTTCTTAATAATTCTGAAAAATTGTAGCCGTCCACATACTCTGCATGATTCAATTTGACAGAAAAATGTGTCGTTAGGGTTAAGGAAAGTTGTTTTAGTACATAGGCTAGCCTATGTCTCTTTAAATGAAATATTGTGTATATTGTAAACTAGGTTGACATATGTTGCTCTTTTCCCCTTTAAAGGGACTCCATCAACGTTTTTTAAAATGTAGAGGCTGGAACTAATTTTTTGAGGTAAATGTTTAATTTGATGTAGATCTAGACCAATAACTTATAACTTGTGTGCAAAATTTTAGATCATTCTCTCACTCCGTTTTCCCAGAATAATTAGTCTAATTGGTAAAATTGACTTAAAATTGAAAAGTGTGGCTAAGAATAGCACAGAAATATGATTTTCAATTTTTTTTTCTAAGTATATTTTCTTATTTCACTTGCATTAAGTGTTCTGATCGATCTACATGATCTATGTAAGAAATTCAAATTTTATGTTTTCAGATTTTTGACCTCTGTTGAGTTCCTTTAATTTTCATAAGTTGGAAATATCAGTAAAACTGGAAGTTAGCTTGCAGCATTTAATTGAATATCTAATGACAATATCAATTCAGTTTCAAATAAGATAAACTTAAATCTATATTTTTGTAATGTTTTATAATTTTTGAAATTATTTAATTGTGACAGAATATTTTTTAGAAGTACGGTTTGGTGTGAGTGCATGTGAGGTCTGGAGTTTGATCACAAGCCATAATAACTGAAAAAAATAGCTCTAGGGTCTTTCATTGCTTTCATAGTGCATGTAGTGTTTATGCAGAGTTAAATTCTAACATATTGTTACCTTAGTGCAGTAATGGGTTAACTCTTATTAAATTATATAAGGAGTTAACCCTTTACTGCCCTAAGGTGAAGATATGCATTGTATTTGTTGTCATTGTGAGACATTGTGAGTAATTTATACACAGGTCAAGAACTATGGTTATACCACATGTATATAAATGTCCTAGTACAACTAATTGTACTGCACATTGAGATATTGTACTATTTTGTGTATGAGCAATATCTCCCCTTCTCAGAATGGAGATTCTGATCCAGAACAAAAGTATCTCAGAATCCAGCTTTGGCACATCAGAATATTTTGACTAGTAAATTGAAATCACTGTATGTTAGGTCATGAGAAGTGCAACAAAGCCTTTGAAACCTACCTAAAGTGACTGTTGTTCTTTTACCAAGATCTCTTGGTGCTTGTTTTTTATTTCCACCGTATTGTTTGAAAGTATTAACCTTTAGGCTGCTGACAACAACCAGTGCAGACCAAGATCCTCCGGAACATTCCTCCATTTAAGATATTTATACATAGTAATGAGTAAATGATTAATTGCGACAGAATGTAAAAATTTTTAGTTTCCAGAGATTTACTTTGAATGTAAGAAAAAGTCCATTGCTATTTTAATTGTTTGTTTTTTTTAACTTTGTCAATGCAGTCAGACTATTGGAAAACATTTTTTTACTGTTTTTTTGTTGGTTTAATAATTTATTGATAAAATGAAAGGTAATTAACTGTATGTTCATTAACATAATTTATGCATTAATTTTTCAAATACATTCTTTTTGCATGTTTTCATCTTTTCTTTTCAATTATTTTAATAAAAAAAAAACATTTTTAGTGAATATATATTCACCAAAACAAATTTAAAATTAATTATGATCTCAAAAATTAATTTTAATTACCTATTTAATATACAGTATTGTTTTGATTATGGACATTAATTCAATTATATTGTCTTTTAAGATTTCTACCATAGTTTACAGTTAACTCCTTTTCAGCAAAAAAGGCTTATAATAATAATACTGCTTTAAAATGATTTTTCAAAATATATAATGTACAAAGTAAGCATTTATACCAACAAACTCAAAATTATAGCCTCAAAACCAACATAATGCGTTTGCGACCATCGTGGATCCATGCTGTTCGCTATCAGTTTGCTCTACTTGTAATAGAGTTGGTAAGCGAACAGCATGGATCCTGATCAGACTGCGCAGATGCGCAGGCTGGTCTGGATCCATGCTGGTTGCAAACACACTGTGTTGGTTTTCTCGTGACGCGGCTCAAATTAGCTTCAAAATTCATGTCCAAATTTGCACTTCTCTGTTGCTTATTTTAGTCATGCTGACATGGAGTGATTTGAGGGATGTTTGAAGATGGCCGCCTGTTTCTGTAGTTCACAAGATAATTGACAAAAATTTTAAATGTTAATAGAATGTTCAGAGGTAGCCAAACTTAGATTTTGATGGTTATCGAATAACTGTACTTAACTTGTGACCTAGATAACGTGTTTTATTCTGATGTTAGTTTCAATATTACAAGTATAAAAGTGCTATTTGTATAAAAGTGCTATTTCACGTAAAATATTGTTTTGCATTATTTATTGGTTTAGTTTAATGCATGTACATAAATAAAATGTCTCAAAATATTGAAATTGTATTTACTTTTTTTCCATTTGAAGACCTTCAGATCATACTTGTACCTATTGCATGTGGTCTTACCTCTATGAGGCATTAAATGAAGTAAACCTTGATGCGATGTGTTCCTACACTAAGGCTGTATTCAATCAGTTTTAAAACCAATTGAAATTTATTTATACCCCCAAAAACAAAGTTTGGGGGGGTATATAGGAGTCACCCAGTGGTCGGTCGGTAGGACGGGCGGGTCAGTCCAGACGTCCGTTGCATTTTCCTTGTCCGGAGCATAACTTGAAGACTAATGATTGAAATTCAATATAAGTACACACAATGGTCAAGCACATTGAGAGGGAGTGCAGTGCACAAGAACCATAACTCCATCTTGACTTATTACAGAGTTACTGCCCTTTGTTACTTTTCCTTGTCCAGAGCATGACTTGAAAACTACTGATTGGAATTCAAAACAACTTCATACAATTGTCAAACACAATATGGGGAAGTGCAGTGCACAAGAACCATAACTCTATCTAAAGTAATTACAGAGTTATTGCCCTTTGTTACTTTTCCATTCCTTTCTTTTGTCCGGACCATAACTTGAAGACTAATGGTTGGAATTCAATATAACTACACACAATGGTCAAGCACATTCAGAGGAAGTGCAATGCACAAGAACCATAACTATCTTGACTAATTACAGAGTTATTGCCCTTTGTTTCTTTTCCTTGCTGGGGCATAACTTGAAAACTACTAGATGGAATTCAAAACAACTTCATACAATTGTCAAACACAATAAGGGGAAGTGCAGTGCACAAGAACCATAACTCTATCTAAAGTAATTACAGAGTTATTGCCCTTTGTTACTTTCCATTGTTTTCTTTTGTCCGGACCATAACTTGAAGACTTATTGTTGGAATTCATTATAACCTAATACAATGGTCAAGCACATTGAGAGGAAGTGCAGTGCACAGGAACCATAACTCCATCTTGACTTTTTACAGAGTTACTGCCCTTTGTTACTTTTCCTTGTCCAGAGCATGACTTGAAAACTACTGGTTGGAATTCAAAACAACTTCATACAATGGTCAAGCACAATAAGGGGAAGTGCAGTGCACAAGAACTATAACTCTATCTAAAGTAATTACAGAGTTATTGCCCTTTGTTACTTTTCCATTCCTTTCTTTTGTCCGGACCATAACTTGAAGACTAATGGTTGGAATTCAATATAACTACACACAATGGTCAAGCACATTGAGAGGAAGTGCAGTGCACAAGAACCATAACTATCTTGACTAATTACAGAGTTATTGCCCTTTGTTTCTTTTCCTTGTCTGGGGCATAACTTGAAAACTACTAGATGGAATTCAAAACAACTTCATACAATTGTCAAACACAATAAGGGGAAGTGCAGTGCACAAGAACCATAACTCTATCTAAAGTAATTACAGAGTTATTGCCCTTTGTTACTTTCCATTGCTTTCTTTTGTCCGGACCATAACTTGAAGACTTATTGTTGGAATTCATTATAACTTAATACAATGGTCAAGCACATTGAGAGGAAGTGCAGTGCACAAAAGCCATAACTCCATCTTGACTTATTACAGAGTTACTGCCCTTTGTTACTTTTCCTTGTCCAGAGCATGACTTGAAAACTACTGGTTGGAATTCAAAACAACTTCATACAATGGTCAAGCACAATAAGGGGAAGTGCAGTGCACAAGAACTATAACTCCATCTTGACTACTTACAGAGTTATTGCCCTTTGTTACTTTTCCATTGCTTTTTTGTCCGAAGCATAATTTGAAGACCAATGGTTTGAATTCAATATAACTTCATACAATGGTCAAGCACATTGAGAGGAAGTGCAGTGCATAAGAACCATAACTACATCTTGACTTATTACAGAGTTATTGCCCTTTGTTACTTTTCATTGTCCAGAGCATAATTTGAAAACTACTGGTTGGAATTCAAAACAACTTCAGTTGTCAAGGACATTAAACCGCCTCCGTGGTCGAGGGGTTAGAGTCGATGACTTCTAATCCAGTTACCTCTCTGGCGTGGGTTCGATCCCCGGGAGATGCTTTGGTAGTTTAGCGCGGAGGAAGGTAGTCTAGTACTGGTGTAACTCTCCAGGAACGATGGTTAGGAAACTACCCGCCTATGTGACTGAAATACTGTTGGAAAAAGGCGTAAAATGAAACAAACAAACAAACAAACAAACAAGAACATTAAAAGGAAGTGCAGTGCACAAGAGCCAAAACTCCATTTTGACAAAATACAGAGTTACTGCCCTTTGATACTTTTCCTTGTCCAGAGCATAACTTAAAACGTACTGGTTGGAATTCAAAACAACTTCATACAATGGTCAAGCACCATAAGAGGAAGTGCAGTGCACAAGAACTATAACTCCATCCTCAGTATTTATAGAGTTATTGCCCTTTGTTTCTTTTCCTTGTCTTTCTGGACTTATTACAGAGTAATTCAATAAAACTTCATCAATGGCCAACCACATTGAAAGGAAATGCAACATACAAGAACCACAACTATCTTTAATTGCCCACAACCATAACTCTATATTTCAATTTTTTTACAAGTTATTCTGTTACTAGTAACATCCTCATTTCTGAAGCAGTCTTGTGGGGGTATTAATCACATTTAGTGATAGTTCTAGTTACCATTTTTACCAAGTAAAAAAAAGCTTGGGTGTTACAATATACTGATGTATTTAATTTTTAAATGTCTTAACTGTAAATTCACTTAATTAAGTCGGTATGAAATTCCGTGGTTTTGTCATAAATGATATTTATGTGGGTTTTAAAATTTGTTTTGACATTTTCACATTTGAAGCATGTAGAATACATAACTAAGCAATGCACTGGCTTAGTAAGCTCAGATTTGGCAAAGAGGTTGTCCTTTAGCTCTAAATGACCACTGTTGATTCTGACAAAGTGGTATGCGGGTGTATCATGCCATGACAGTGGCAGTTCTAGTTTTTTATAATTTACACAAAGCAAAATTTGAAATGTAAAAGTTATGTTCTAGAAACTTATATTCTTATACTTTATTGTACAATGTAATATAATTTCTAGACCTCAATTGTCTTTAGAAACACAACAAATGATCGTCCATGTACTTCATAATAAAGCAGTGTTTGCTTGTTAGTTGACCAATATGATTTATGTCTCTTATATAAAGACTTGCAGTTAAAACATTCAAATATACAAATAAATACACATGAAATAAAAGGAATTTTTAATTTTATTGATTACTTGGTAAAAACGGATAAGATAAGCAGGAAATCAATCAATCTTTGTTGCATTAACAAAGCTCATCAGCATGATAAGTCTTACTTCATGTTTACTCTATGATGAATACAGAGTTACGGTACAACCTAAGCAGAGTGACCTTCGGTACAACCTATACAGAATTTCCCCTGTAAAGTAATAACTTCTGTACAACAAGGGAATTATTTTTTCCCAAAGTATACTCAAAATCACTAATTCCGCGTCATCACTTATCTCACGGTAATGGCATATTTTTATGTGACCAGTGTTAAAATTGGTAAGAATTGACATATTTTATTCAAACACCTAAACAACAAAATTTTTGTGCAAAATATTTGAAATCTATAGATTTATACGTAAAACAGAACAACATTTTACAAACTTCAGCAAAAAGCAACAATAGTCCGTAAAATTTGTGCATACGTCTGAAACAATCATCATTTTCTAAATGTTCTTGTTTGTTAAAAAGACAAATTTTGAGTTACAATGTAAAGATACTTGTAATATTTAAAATTATGCAAAATAACATGTAGAAATTTTAACTGAAATATGAAAAAAATGAAATAAAACACGATTACCGCGATTTAAATGATACATTGTTTTCAAAATGGCCGACATTTGGTCAACGTCTGGCTCATTTAAACTGATTTTGACTGAATATATTGTTGTTTCCTCATGTCATACAGCAGAAAATACCTACATGTATATGTTACAGCTAATGACAATTTTTGTATCGTAAATTTTATGTGTTGTTTTCTTTTTTGCTTCAAAGCGTTAAGGACGTTTTTGGAGTTTCCATAAAGGCATATAGGCAAAATTAAAACTGTTCAATAGAATTTATTTAAACTTGGCATGTTGTTAGAATATGATAACAGAAACATTTTAAGCGAAAAAAAAAATTGGGGTCACCGTTCTCATTTTCGAGTTATCTGCCCTTGAATTGGACTTTTTCGTTAAATTCAAGGGCAGATAATTTACAATGAAGGGAAGCAATACAATTTTTTTTCTAATTTTCATGAAGCTTACCTTCCTTTAAGTCGATATGCAAAATTTCAAGAACAAATGTAGAGTGGATAAATTTTTTTTCACTTTTTCTTTTCACCCATGCATTTTTTTCTTAAAAAATGCCCTATTTTTTAAGAATTTAAAGTACCTTTATTTTCATTGAAAAAAATTAACAGAAACGATATACGGAAATGCATGTTATTATGTATTGTACTTAACAATAAAAAGAAAAACATAATCCAGAAGCAAAAACAAGAATTCATTTAAGTATGCTATCTGCCCTTGAAATGACCTCAAATAAGTAGAAAATTCTGATTCAGGGGCAGATAACTCAAAAATGAGAACGGTGACCCCAATTTTTTTCCGCTTAAAATGTTTCTGTTATCATATTCTAACAACATGCCAAGTTTGAAGAAATTCTATTGAACAGTTTTAATTTTGCCTATATGTCTATATGAAAACTCCCGAAAACGTAGTACCACGAACTAAGAGGAGCACAGCATAAGTCCTTACAGAAGTTAAAGATATACTATGCTCATACTAGAGTGAAATATTTTAATCACAGAAATTTATTGAAATCTATGAAATTCTTGCTGAATATGTCTAATATAATTAAGGGAATGAATAAACTATGTATGAGAATCGGCATTCCATTTTACAAGACAAGTAAGGTTCGCCTTTTCTTAAAAAAACTGCCAGTGTTTTAATGTCACTATCCATTTGTAATCACCTATAGTTCGTTGAGTTTTAAACACAACATATCCACTTTGTATGAAGTCAAAACATTGTTATATTATATTTGCAAAGAGACTGTACAGAAATTATCAATATTTTCTTATATCAAATCTGAGCATGGTATATCTTTAAACCTCTCTTGTGCATCACCTCTTAACAACGACCAAAATATTTGTGTCCCAAAAGGAGTTGCTCTGCAGAGGTTTTACTGTATGTTAAATTCTAATTAGTACATGATTAAATCTATTTTCTGATCTACACGTTTACAACCATTTACAACAAAAAGTTGTATATCCTCGGGGATGTACACAAATTCGCTTGCTATTTCTTCGACTAGTCCATGTTTTATTTCATCAATCGATTTGTAAAACCCTTTCCGAATCAGTCCTTGTTTTATACATTGCCTCACGTGCTGTCTTTCAAGTGGCAGAAATGGTACGTAAGCTGTGATAAGATCATGTTTTATAAGGTCACTGTGCCACAAACCACCTGCAAAAAATAAAATCGTAACAATGTTGTGTTTCACAGCAGCAGTAAGGAACATCTTTTAAAAATTAAAATTATGTTTTGTTGTGAACTTAACATTGGTAGAATAGAGGAAACGGTCGGTTTGATAAATCCAACGAAAAATAGGATAATAATTAATAATGTGGGCAGATAAATCCAATGAATAATAGAATAATAATAAATAATGCGTGCTGATAAATCCAGTGAATTATAGAATAATAATAATACGTGCAGATAAATCCAATGAATAATAGAATAATAATAAATAATGCCTGTTGATAAATCCAATGAATAATAGAATAATAATAAATAATGCGTGCTGATAAATCCAATGAATAATAGAATAATAATAAATAATGCGTGCTGATAAATCCAATGAATGATAGAATTATAATAAATAATGCGTGCTGATAAATCCAATGAATAATAGAATTATAATAAATAATGCAAGCTGATAAATCCAGTGAATTATAGAATAATAATAATGCGTGCAGATAAATCCAATGAATAATAGAATGATACTAAATAATGCGTGCTGATAAATCCAATGAATAATAGAATAATAATAAATAATGTGTGCTGATAAATCCAATGAATAATAGAATAATAATAAATAATGCGTGCTGATAAATCCAATGAATAATAGAATAATAATAAATAATGCGTGCTGATAAATCCAATGAATGATAGAATTATAATAAATAATGCGTGCTGATAAATCCAATGAATAATAGAATTATAATAAATAATGCAAGCTGATAAATCCAGTGAATTATAGAATAATATAATGCGTGCAGATAAATCCAATGAATAATAGAATAATACTAAATAATGCGTGCTGATAAATCCAATGAATAATAGAATATAATAAATAATGTTTGTGCTGATAAATCCAATGAATAATAGAATAATAATAAATAATGCGTGCTGATAAATCCAATGAATAATAGAATAATAATAAATAATGCGTGCTGATAAATCGCAATGAATAATAGAATAATATAGTAAGTAATGCGTGCTGATAAATCCAGTGAATTATAGAATAATAATAATGCGTGCAGATAAATCCAATGAATAATAGAATAATAATAAATAATGCGTGCTGATAAATCCAATGAATAATAGAATAATAATAAAAAATGCGTGCCAATTTGATGTAATAAGAACTCAACATAGAATAAGGGAAATTGAGTATCTGATTAATGCATTCTGTTAGTTTAAACATATTTGTATCATAGTTTGGGGACCTTTCTGTTGAAAATGTGGCATAGTTATACATAGTTATACATATACATGCACAGTGAGTTAACTCGAGTGCAGGTATTAGTTACCCGCACTTTAGAGCATGCCCATTGATTGGTTCATTTTGTCCGGGGTTTACATATTGTGACGACAGAGAAAGGGATAGCGATGGAAATATCATATTCAGATGCTCGTTCATTGGTTACTTTTTTTGTGGGGTTTCATATTGTGGTATCAGGGAACGTGTTTTTATGTTTGACTATGATACAAAAGGGAAAGAACATCAAAACACTCGGCAATCTGATTTATACTCGGGGGCTACGCCCCCTCTTTCAAATCAGGTAATAACCTCGTGTTTCGATGCTCTTTCAATATTTAAATGCATTACATTTTATATGTATATAATTGTAACATAAGATTGAAAGGGATTAGAAGGAAAGAAAACTTATATAGTTCCTCTCCCTAGATAACAAATGATATTTACACAAACATATATGGCAGGATAGCTAATATTGCAAGATTACACATGCTGTTCGCAATTGATTCTCAAACTATTTTTTTTAGAATTGCTAAAAATCGTCAGTATATTGAAATATATAATAAACAATATCTGTCTTTATTTAAGTGACAAGGAGTATGACTATCAATCAGATTGCCGAATGTTTTGATGATGCAGAAACTATGATAAAATTTATAAGTAGTATTCAAACTTACTCTTTTCATTTCAAGCAGATAATTTTATTATCTGTTCCATTTCCTTGAATGTAATTGATTCCCTCGGATTGGCTAAGTTATTCTTCCAATGTTCAAGTGTTTTCGTAAATATATCGTTTTCTGCTGTATTACTACAAGTATAGATAAAAATATAACACCATATTTTTTAGGATTTGTTTTAACCGTTTATTACGTTGAATTTAGAAAAAGTAAATCAAGCAAATCGAGGCAAATATCCTTATAATTAATCTAAGACAAAAGCTTTAAGTTGAACGGTCTACAACAGGCACAGTTCTTCGCTCAATTTTTCAAATATTGATAAAAACATAAGAAATATAATAGCTCTATTTGGATATTTATATGAACTATTTCTTGAAATATATATAATGAGTAATATCATTTTGTTTATAGAACACTTTATTATCTGGTATATAAAGATATGTAAGATCATGTATCTTAATTACACTTACCAACAACAGCCATATACATTTTCTTCATGATTAGTTATTTCGTTTGATTCTAAATACTATCAACGAAAATAATTTTGGTATTTCAGAAAATGAGCATAAAATTCGACCAGAATCGTCACTTGTCAATTCATAAAATATGTAAATGAAAAGCTTATATCTTCAATAACTCCGTCAAATCAATAGGCAAGAATCTAGCTCCTGGACATATTCAAAGACTTCAAAACTACATACAAATCCACTTACATGGACAAAATCGAGCGAACATTACACAATTTTCATGACAAGATGCCATATCAAGTTTGCAACCATTCCGCTCGTTTGGCCTATATATTTGTGCAACCACTTCACGTCCTGCACTTTGAAGCAGCTCCTACTACATATTCAAATACTAGGTGTACCTTATAAATATAAATGTTGTCTGTCTGTAGTCCACTTCCCCAACTTTTTCATAATTATCTAGATAATGCCGTAGAATATCTAAAATTCCAGCTGGCATCTTGTCCTTTTCTTCGAAAATGAACAATGAACGTCGACACTCCTTCACTCGTGCTTCAATAAATTTTTTTAACTTATCCTGCAAAAAAAGTATGAATGACCCCTGTTTACATTAAGGTCATTAATATAGTGCCTGTTATAATTAATTTAAGCCATTTACGCTTTCTGTATTGTTTCTTTTTACTAAAAAAATTACATATAATATATAAAAATAATATAGTGCATAAAAACATGCAAATTAAAATTAAAGTTAATCATCGCGAGGGTCTAAAACAGAATAGCGCGAGAATACATTTGGTCCCCAAGGGACAAATTAAAGCCGCATGCCCTCAGATTAATGCAAATTTTCATGAAAATTTTAAAAATAATTTTAAAATTAAATTATTGTGAAGTGAATAAAGAAAGTAATTTATATACTGCAAACAGCACTTTCAGCCGAATTACCTAACAAATGCCAAAATCTGCGATAGTCACAGCCAGAGTCGAACTATGGTGATAAATACCGCAATCAGTCATTATTCGCACATTACCTGTAAATCATTATTTGAATCTTTAATCTTCTTACTTATTTTAAATCTTTCTCAAGTCTTATTTTCTTGAAATATTTTGGCTTATCTGGAGGCATGCAGCTTTAAATGTTAGGTATGTCGCTTTAAATGGATTCTTCGAAACTTTATTGAATTTCGCTTTATTCTGTTGCTTTATTCTTATGAAGCCATTAACTCACAAAATTGAAGATTTAAATATTTCATTTAGTATCGTAAATAGTCTGTTTGTTGAAAATTACATCAACTCATATTAATATCATATAAGCTTCATAATCTTCCAATCAAAACCATAATCGGTTCTTATCCGCACAGAAATATGGGGTATGGAGCTCAAAACGCATTTAAATTCCAAATAAAATGTATATGTGTCAATCCTAGCACATGTACTTACAATATACCCGACACAATTAAGTCCCTTAAACTTAGACTTATCAAAGTTCTACTGTATATCAAAAAATTAATAAAAGCCGTTTTGAAAAAAAAATATTAAAGATGTTTTTTTTTTTTTCAAAACGGCTTAATTATATTAAGGTTTTTTATATGCATGTACATGATAATTACACGTGCTAGGATTGACAAATATACATTTCATTTGGAATTTAAATGCGTTTTGAGCTCCACACTCCAGCCAAAGTGTCTGTGCTTATACAAAGACTGACGGAAAGACCCGAAATGCTGCGCTTGTGAAAACCAACGTTACTAACATGATAGTAGATGTAACAAAACTTTATCATACAAGTACCTTATAATACGCAATTTCGGAGTCATTATTGTAATCTTTGGTTGCCGATATTAAGTGGACATATTTACTTTGCATTCCCTTCTTATACATATTATCGACTAAAAGCTTGGTTGAATATGTTTTTCCTGTTCCTGTAGATCCATGGAAGGAGAAAACAAGTGCACTTTGTGGCTGATTAGTGATATGTCCTTTTAATTGATTAACAATGATATCGGCGACAAGATGTTGACCATATAGTTTGTCATTAAGAGTCTGTTTCAAACCTAAAAGTTACATACATTCAAATTAGTCATTATTAATGCCGATAACGTACAAGTACAAATGATACATCAGTACCTACTAGAACTAGTTCAACAGCACCTGCTTCTAATGGTACAACAGTGCATATAACAAATTCAACAGTATCTACCAGTACTTACTAATACTAGCACAACAGACCTACTAATACTAGTACAACTGTACCTATCGGTACTGGTACAACTGTACCTATCAGTACTAGTTCAACAGTACCTGCTACTAATGGTATAACAGTACCTTAAACAAGTTCAACAGTATCTACTAGTACTTGTTCAACAGAACCTACTAATACTAGTACAACAGACCTACCAATACTAGTACAACTGTACCTATCAGTTCTAGTACAACAGACCTACCAATACTAGAACAACTGTACCTATCAGTAATAGTACAACTGTACCTACCGGTACTAGTACATCTGTACATATCGGTACTAGTACAACAGACCTACCAATACAAGAACAACTGTACCTACCAATACTAGTACAACTGTACCAACCAATACTAGTACAACTGTACCTATCAGTACTGGTATAACTGTACCTATCGGTAGTAGTACAACAGACCTACCAATACTAGTACAACTGTACCTATCGGTACTGATACAACAGACCTACTAATACTGGTACAACTGTACCTATCAGTACTAGTACAACTGTACCTATCGTTACTGGTACAGCAGACCTACCAATACTAGTACAACAGACCTACCAATACTATTACAACAGACCTACTAATACTAGTCCAACAGACCTACTAATACTGGTACAACTGTACCTATCTGTACTAGTTCAACTGTACCTATCGGTACTGGTACAGCAGACCTACCAATACTAGAACAACAGACCTACTAATACTGGTACAACTGTACCTATCAGTACTAGTACAACTTTACCTATCGGTAATTCGGTACTGGTACAGCAGACTTACCAATACTAGTACAAAAAGACCTACTAATACTTGTACAAGCAGACTTACCAATGTACAACAGACCTACTAATACTTGTACAACTGTACCTATCGGTACTAGTACAACTGTACCTATCGGTACTAGTACAACTGTACCTATCGGTACTGCTGGTTCAACTGTACCTATCGGTACTGTACAAAATTTGTACAATACAAGAAGCAAATATATTACTCTCAATTAAAGCATAACTATTGAAATGTGATCTAATAACAGTTGTAAACCCGTAGAGGCAATAGCGCAAAGATTTTAAGCACTTTGATCATATTTCACTTGAAGACAGTTAATTTTTGGAATGTGAAATTTTAAACAATGTCTTAATACAGACAATGTATAATCTTATTTTAGATCTTAGACACACACACACACACACAAACATAATGGCAAATAATTAAATAAGTTAACTCATGGACTGTGTTTTTTGTTTTATTTGTTTTATTTGTATATAGATAGTTTTTATGTTTGTGAGCATGTCATATTTACAGTACATGAGACTATTTCAAGGAATAAACAAGAAAAATATTACATACATTCGTATGTAATATAGGTACGATTGCATACTACTTTTTGTGAAGACTTTATGTTTGCTGAATTAAAGGTGTAATGTAAAATGAACAAACATGTCATGAGATATTTTATATCTTTAAACATTTTCATGGAATGTAATTAACGTATCACCACATTAAAGTTGCATGCCTTCACATGAGAAAAATGATTTCAAGGGAATCAAAATATGAAAAGAAAATTCACGGTCAATTGACTGCTTTGAAGCATATTCACAAAATAAAATTACAGGAAATTAAAAACCTTTTTAATACACTTCAGGTAGAATTTCATTTTAAATTCATAGTCAAAGATTTGAGATATGATTATTTATTCATATTAGCATCATTATTGGTTATATATTGATAAAAAAACCGAAAGACACAGTTTGTAAATATTTATTACAATAAAATATGAGAAAGGTATACGCGCCGAGGTTAGCTATAATTAAAATTCCCGCGCTAAGTCGCGGTGGTGCTTGGGATAATCACTTGATACTGTAAATGGCAGCCATTTTACGATACGAATCCTCGGACAGTTTATCCTGCCGAAAAGATATGAAAAAATACTTGCAATTCAAAGTTTGCTGGCTACATAAAGATTATCGATTTACTCTTTGCACACTTTTTTCTCTGCCTGAGTATAATAATATTGACGTATTTTCATTGGCTTAAACCATCACGTTACCAATACACATGTAGGTGTGAACTAATTTCGTGTTCATTAAAATTATTCCGTTAAAAGACATATAACAATCTTATTTACAAATGAATTGATAAAACAACATAAGATAATAACAATCATTGGAAAAAAATAAATGCATATAAATTGTAAATTTGTGTATGCATGACAACTCACCCCCCTAAACAAAACATAATAGACTCAACCAAAACAAGCGCCTGCTTCTTTACCTAACTAAGTAGTTGCATGACCATGAATAGCAATTTAGCAAACCAAATCTAAGAGATAAACCTATTGTAAAAATAATACTATGACCACAGCAGATTTCGTACAGAAAAAACGCTTTTTGACACTATTACTACAAAAGCATACAGTACAATAATTGTTAGTTTTTTAGTTTTCATAATTATGGCATAAATATATATATATATATATTTAAACACCTTTAAAATTAGTAGATATCCATCTATCTGTACAACATTCTGAATCTCTACAGAATAATTTTTCATAAGCGGCTGAACAAAATGCTGCCAGAACAGCGCCGAACGTGAAAATATCTGCCGAAACCACCGTCAAAAAGAAAAAGAAAACTAAAATTCCTTTAAACAAGTACATTTTTTTAGATTTAAAATTCACAACTTTGTTAAGTGTTCTTGTTAACAATTATATCCTTAATTGAAGTTTACATAGTAAACGCGGTTTCTGCAAGATCTAAATTAATTCTACTTTCGATTTGATGTTTACATTGTCAGTACTTGACCTATATCCGGTTTCTAATAGATTCTACCACGTGACTAAATTTAGCTCCCTTATCAACAAAGTAGGATCCGCATCAGCAGCTAATACGTATGCAGCCTCTCGATTTCCACAGCGCTCTTTGTTCACACGCACATTAATTTAGAAAAATAATTTTACAAATAACGTGTTAAATCGATATATTTTATTGTAAAAAACAACGGAAATACAAACATTAACAATCTAAATTCCGTATAGTGCCGTTCTTGTTCAGAATTTATTACTATTTTGGACTCGGCCCGGTGAATTTTCGTACTATTTGTTCTATAGTAAATCAGTCAAATTTGAGGCTTAATTCTGGATTCCACTGTTCTTGATGAATTATATACTGTCTTCAACACTATCTAAGTCCAATGAGGCCCAAAATATAATAGGTTAGCCATCTACTTTTTTCAGAAATCTTCATTCTGATGTAACACTGTTTAAATTCACCACTCCTGACAGCTGGCGGGTAGTACATCTTTAATCCTTCCACCAACAAATGAGTTCCTGGAGAATACACAAAAAACAACTTTTAAAGTCATCATATAACACACAAAAACTACACACATGCAATAAATACACTTTAATTATGACCAATCTAACTAGAGATGACTTAAATTGGGCCATTCCAAAATTTTAAAGAACTACTTTCTAGACTACAATGGGTTCGGTCTAATTCCGTAACGGGTTGAGACCTTTTAAACTTTGGAATTAAAATTCGAACAAAGAAAAATGGCGTCGAACACCAGAACATCCCGGAGAAAATATTTTGATATGTCATCGCCGGACAACTGGGGCGTAAAAGAATACAGAGAACATTTAAGCAATTTAGGAATTAATGTTCCAACATCCATGAACAAAAGTACTTTAAAATCTCTTTACAAAGAAAATGCACATAAAGAAAAAACAAATGAATCTCCGGGACCTAGCATCGACACAGAAAGAGAACGACCTCGATCACCATTACGTCGGCAAGCAAGCGACATAGACATGAGTTTATGCATTTCGACTTTGAACAACACAATGTCAGCCTTCACTGAAACAGTGAAGGCTTTATCAGAAACCAGAGGATCCGGGCTGTCAGAACCACAAAAGGAGTCGGCAAACAATGGTACATTGATGGATATATACAAAGGTACGTAAATCTTCCGAAACATATTTACAACATCAGCATCTAGATGAAATTAAAAAATTAGCTTATCAGTCCCCTAATGGAATACCAGCAAGCCAAGTCGGCAACTTAGATATAGTTGCAGAATCTTTGAAAAAAACAAATAGAGACCGGAAGAGACGTAAATTTGGCTTCTTTATTGATCCTTGACAATAACACCTACAAAAATGACTCCAGGCTAAAGAAAAGACTAAACATCGAACAGTTTAGGACTGCCTTCGGGAAACATAAGAGAATCATGTGTCAAAGATGACCTCACAGGAAGAATGAGCTCGACGAGTATGAAATCGATATTGGACGAATTCATGCCTTTTATGGGGAAAAATTCTATGATTACCACATGGCGTTTTCAAGTAAAGCCGCGGAAGCAGTCAGGCACGGCATACCAATCAACTGGGCTATCCGTGACACAGAAAACTTTCAACTGATACTTGGAGGTACCCGGGCTAAACAATGTTTTCACTGCCAGTCCACTCTTCATGATTCGGATTTTTGTGCACGACCATATTCAACAACAAGGCCATCGCAACTCCCCTTTAAAGGAAACAATGAAGACAAATTCGGCAGACGAATGTAACTCACAGAGGAACTGAGATATGTAACAACTTTAACAACGATAAGGGCTGCTCTAGACGAGGCTGCCCCAGACTACACATTTGCTTAATTTGTAAAACTGACAGCCATTCAAAAACGTCCTGCCAGAAATTTGATAACAGAAAATACTTACATACTTCACAGAAAACAGACTGACTACATTTTCGCGCTTCACACCAATTAACATTAAAAGCTTAAAGGAAGAACCAAAGGGTCATCCAAACCAAAACTTTGTCAAATATTTATGTGATGGTTTAGAAGAAGGATTTGACACTATGCTCACGCCTTATCCACGCGACAATAAGATCTGCAAAAATTTACAGTCTGCCTTAAAACAGCCAAAAGAAGTGGATATACTTTTAAGTTCAGAACTAGATAACACATTTTTACAAGGCCCTTTTGAACCCCCCCCCCCCCCCCCTTCGAACATTACAGAGTATCACCAATTGGGATAGCAGAAAGAAAATATTCCGGCAAGAAAAGATTAATAGTAGATTTATCATCACCCCATAATGATAAAAGTCATTTGAGTATAAATGATTTAATAGTTAAAGATCAGTGCAGTATTTCATATATGTTAAAATTGATGATGCAGTCTCAGCTATACAAAAAATAGGACAGGGTGCAAAATTGTGTAAGACTGACATAACAAATGCGTTCAAACTCTTACCTATTTAACCAGAACAGATGCCATATTTCATGATAAAATGGACAGGAAAATATTATGTGTACACGCGTTTAGTGTTTGGATGTCGTTCCTCGCCAAAACGTTTTGATAACCTATCAATCGCTATTTGTTGGATTGCAAGTATAACTACAAAATAAGTGTTATTTTTCATTTGTTGTATGATTTTCTTACTGTGCAAGATGCCCATTCTAATGGCGATAGAACCATGGCACTTCTAACCCATATATTCAACAAGCTTAAGGTTCCCATTTCCCCATCGAAAACCGTTGGACCTACAACATGTCTGGAGTATTTAGGCGTCATTCTCGATTCTTCGAAAATGGAAGCAAGACTGCCAAAGGATAAAATAGACAGAATCATTAGTACACTACTCAACAAAAAGTCATGTACAAAAAGAAATCTTCTGCAGCTCTTGGGTCATTTTCAATTTGCATCAAGAGTTATAATGCCTGGTCGAAGTTTTGTGTCATATTTGATTAATCTTTCCACAAGAGTTAAAGAATTGCATCATTTTGTCAATTTAAACAAGAATTGTAAAGATGATCTTTTAATGTGGTTAAAATTTCTTCAAAACTGGAATGGTGTCTCCATTTTCTATGAAAATAAAGTGACTTCTACAGAAGACATGAAACCTTATACTGACGCTAGTTCTACCCTCGGTTTCTCAGCATTTTTTGAGAACAAATGGTTTTGTAGCACATGGCCTACAGGAATTCCAAAAGATGCTTCCATGGCTTTTCGAGAACTTAATCCTATTGTAGCCGCTGCTGTGACATGGGGCCATTCTTGGAAATGTAAAAAACTATTGTTTCTTTGTGACAATGAAGGGACAGTTAATATTTTAAATAAAGGGCGCTCAAAATGCTTGTATATTATGAAATTAATGAGAAACTTGAAATGGATAGTCGCTGTTAATAACTTCACTTTCAAGTCACGACATATTGCTGGGAAACAAAATGTTATCGCTGACTCTCTTTCTCGATTTCAGATGGATCGCTTTCGAGCAGCAGCACCACTAGCAAATCAGGAGTCAGAAATATGCCCAGCAATTACAGACGTAATGTGGAGTTAAACCTCAACACCTTAGTGGAGGAAATGTTGGACTCTGTATTAAGCAAAAACACATGCAAAGTGTACACTACTGGCATGGACAGTTACAAAACATTTCTTTTAAAACAGTCAGTGACATATAAGTGTGACAGCTTACCACCAGTGACAAACGATTTATTAATATCTTTTATAGCATATTGTCATCATTCTGTAAACCTAAAGTATAAAACAATTAAGTTGTATTTGTGTGGCATACGTTTCTTTTATATAAAAATGGCAAAGATTCACCCTTAGAATCAAAATTAACAAGCACTAAAGTATACACCTTTTTAAATTCTGTCAAGAGATTGCAAAGCAATGATAAGCGCCAAAGATTACCTATTGATATTGCCTTGTTAGAAAAGATCATAAAATGTCTTAGAAGTGGATGTTTTGGTACTTATGATGATGTATTAATGACATGTTGTTGTATAGTTGTTTTTTTGTGTTTTTACGTTATGGCGAATTCACCATTAATCAAAAAATTGTTGATAATCACAATACTCTACAGCTAGATGACATTAAACTCAGGGAAGATCATTTATTATTACATCTAAATCATTCAAAAACTGACCCTTTTAGACAGGGTATTGAAATTACAATTTATGCTACAAAAAAATTTTGTATGTCCAATTAATGCCGTTAAAAATTATTTACAACAGAGGAAGTCATCTAGCTCTAACGCTTTTTTTGTGAATAAAGAAGGTCTGCCTTTGACAAGAACAAAATTCATTAAAGATTTAAAATCAGTTCTAAAGATTATTGGTTTGGATGATTCTAAATACAATGGTCACAGTTTTCGAATAGGTGCAGCTACAACTTGTGCTAGATTAGAATAGAAGACCATCTGATTAAAACACTAGGCCGTTGGTCTTCTGACTGTTATACAGCATATATTCACACTGATAAGAATACAATAAAAGATGCACAAATAGCCATGTCAACCATATAACAATCATACAATGATCGGTTGTAACACTGTTAAAGAAGGATTTAATCCTACGTTTCATTTTACTCTTAAAATGCAGCCACATTTTAAGGATATTTCATGTACATATGTAAATAATTTCTAAAAATGATAGTGTATCAATGATTTTACCATTGTTGTCTTTTTATAGCATTTAAACATTGTTCATATTAAAATGTGTTTATCATGTTACCCAAAATACATTTATGCTATCAGGAATACTATGTTCTGAAAAAGTCATGTTTATAGAAATCTCACATGTTTGCTTAATTTTCATGTACATTTGTATATAATATTCTTTAATATCCAATGTATCAAATGCAAGCCAGCAATTTTTCATTGTTTTAAGATTTGTTTGAAAGAC